TCAATATAACATTGACTCTGAATTGTACGGGAACAATACGTTTAAGTTGTTAATGCCTACCAATAATGCATACTCAACTATTCAGGTAACTCTAAACAGCGGATACTATAGCTACGCGAACATCAATGCTGCGGTTCAAGCTGCTTGTGTCAGTGCTGGTGCTTATTTAATAGATGCTGAAGGAAAGAACGTGTACTTCTTCCCATTAACGGAGAATCCAACATTCTATGCTGCTCAGGTGGATTTACTACCTGTTCCAACATCACTCGGTTCGTATACTAGACCACCGTCCGGATTATATAGCTCTAGTGGAAGTGGATTACCGTTGGGATTCACCTATACACCAAAGCTTGTAATCGATAACGAAGCATTTGGATCCATTATTGGATTTACTCAAGGTCAATATCCGTCATCTAGTTTATATACTACGCAATCGTTTTTAAGCAATATCTCGCCTCAGGTCAATCCAACTTCGTGCTACCAAGTCCGTTGCAACCTAGTTAAAAACCCCTACAGCATGCCAGATGATGTGATAACAACTTTTAACACTGCTGGAACAACGATTGGTCAGCTCATAAGCTATCGACCAAATGAGTATTGCTGGGTTGATATTCCTGATGGCAGTTACAATTCAGTTAGACTGACTATAGTTAATCAGAACGAACAGTTTGTTAAGTTTAGAGACAGTAACATGTTTATAGCACTAGCAATCAGACAAAAGCCTACATAATTAAAAAAAAAAAAAAAAACTGAATTATTTAATTTTGTCAGTAATATAGAGTGATTTTCGAACTAAAAGAGTGTTTATAATGTATAAAGAAATCGCTGTTAGTGCCAATATCCCTGAGGCCAAGTTAAAAAAAGCTGCCAACGATGGCAACTTACTCTAACAAAAGCAGAGCTCAGTGGATCTGGTGCTTCGTTACACCTTCACCCGGAATCCTACGATAAAGTCCAAAGGGCTAAGAAAGCAAACAAGGGTACCCGTGTCCATATTACAAAACATGAAATTGAGTACCCAATGACTCGCCTCAGTGGTTCTGGAATCCATGGAGGATCGATCTGGTCTAAAATTTGGAGCGGACTTAAGTCAGCATGGAATCCAGTAATCAAACCTATTCTATCTGCTGCCGCTGATCAAGCTGCAACGCTGGGATCTGCTTATGTAGCATCTACTGGAAGAAACCCTGCCGTGGTTGGTGTGCTTCGTCAAGGATTAAAGAAGTTTACAGGTGTTGGCGTTGAGACTAAACCATCGCCGATGGGTCGCATGGTGAAGGGTTCTCAAGCGGCCAAGGATCATATGGCTAAGATACGTGCTATGCGAAAAGGAGGTAAAACATCTAAACACGGCGCTTCGTTTAGATTAGACTAGATAACATCAATGTCAAGATCAGTGAAATTCTTCATAAGGTTAATTTTTTTATGCTGACGGCAGTATAGCCAAAGCAGACAAAATATCCCACAGTATTCATCTGACGATCCTTGGTATTGGAAGTCTGAGTACTCAATATTACCCATCATTCTCGGAGGCGGCACGCCTGTTGGATCGTAGTATATATTGTTATGAATGCACACCCAATGACCAATCCCACCATCCTTACGCAACAGAATAATGAATGTACCGCGCTTCGGGAGCGGTGCTTTGATTTCGGAAAGCTCGTATATGCCATTTATATTGACATTAATGACTTTGGCCAGTTCGATTAAATCTGTATCGCTAGTGACGCCTTTAATGAGATGGGACATTTATTTAATTTTCGTTGAAGTATAGATACTCTTATATACTAATAAGATTATTATTTCATCATGACTGACGTAACTCAGCTGTCCGATGAATTTCTTCTACAGAGTTCTTTAAAGAATGAGTCAGTTGTTGACGTATCGAAAGGTAAAAAGCTAGTAGTGCTTCCTGATCTTCAACAAGGTAGCTACACTTCGGGAACGGTTACGTATGACGCGACTGCAACTGCTGGTTCTCAGGGTTATGCTTCGCTTAAGGATGCTTACATTACGGTACCGTATGTTGTTAGTGCTAAATCAACCGGAGGAACTGATATAACTTCAGGTCTGAAGCGTTTTGCTACTACTCTAAAATGTAATGTCACAAATATTGTTGATAGTCTCAGTCTGGAAATGAACGGACAGACTGTTCTAGCGGATGGTGAATACCGCATGTTCTGGAATAATCTACGGGCTCAGACGGAGCGTTCGCAAAATGATATTACGAAGCATGGTGCCGATGCGTATCTATACCCTGACGACTGGTATTCTATTAACTTTAGTGCTAGCGCGTCTGGTGCTGGTGATAGCTACTCAAACAATCAGGTTGATAATGCTGCTAATCTGGATACTACGCTAGCTCAATCACAGGAAAACAGAGCATTTAATAATGGTTTGTTCAATCGTCTATGTTCGATGCTACCAACAGTAGATTCTACTGATGCCGTTCCTTCTTGGAGTTGGCCATCCTTAGGTACTACCGCTACTCGTAACATCGTTCAGCAAAACGCCAAGGGGTGTTTCAAAGAGTCCGATACCACTATAATTTCTGCTACTAAAGTACTAGGTCGCTGGATCTACATGCTTAAGATTCGCCTTGTTGATCTTCACCCAATTTTCAAGGAACTTAACCTTGTATCCAATCCTCAATTCAAACTACGTATACGCTTTAACACTGGTACGGTTAAGGTATCTGGTACGGCTACTACAATGCAGCTTGATTCTGTAACAATGACTAGCGGACAGACTTGCCCTATCATGGTTTCTAGTGCAGCAGCAAATCAACCTATGAATGGTGTGTTATCTACAGGAGCTCAGGTTGGTTTCGGTGTTCTTCAGAATGAGTACACGTCAGTGGCTGAGGTTGGTAATTATGTTCCATATACAACTACACGACTAAACATTCCTTTCTATGAACTACGCAATCCTAGCTCTATTATCAACAAGCCTATTAAACACATTCGCTTTAATGATGTATACGCACAATATTTCACAAAACGCGCTGGTGAAACCCCTGATACTATCACTGGTCAGCTAAATGTTGACTTCAACTTCCAACTATCCGGTACTTTCAAGAATATCAAGTATGTTGCACTGCTACCATTTGCTGAAACTTCAAAAAGCCATTTTGCGAGTGCTCATGGAACACAACAGTTCCAATCTCCTTTCGATAGCGCTCCATGGACTGTTATGCCTGGGGCTTCCATCCGTAATTTCCAAGTAACGATTGGCAACTCAAACGTGTTTTCTAAGACACATGAGTACGACTATGAAAATTTCCAAGACGAATTTTCTAAGCTAGCTGCCGTTAATGGTGATCACACACGTGAAATTTCTAATGGTTTAATCGACGCTAATAAGTGGGCATACGCGCACAGAGTTATGGTTGCTGATTGCCCACGCATTTCTGAGAAGGATGTCCCCCAAAGCATCCAAGTGTCTGGAATTAATGGTAATGCTACTGGTATGAATATCTTGGTGCTTGTCGTATACGAACGTTCGATGGATCTTGATCGTCTAACTGGTGAAGTAAGCAACCTTTAAGGTTAATTAAATAAATGTCTAGATTTTAATAAATACCTACATATATAGATACACCATGAGTACGGTGCTAAAATTCGGTAAGCATAAATCGCGCACTATCGAAGAAGTGTATGCGACGGATATTAACTACTGCCGTTGGCTTTTTAGTCAAAAGCTAATGATTGAAGAAGATTCTGATATTGGCAAGTTCCTAAAGAAAAAATTTGCTAACGATGATGGTTCTTACGTGATGACGTACGGAAAATATAAGAACAAAACAATCAAACAAATTCTTAATGTGGATCGTCAATATTTAGAATGGTTATTCAAGAGTTCATGTATTAATGAAAAGGCCCCAAAACTAAAAGCTGCGCTAATCGAAGCCCTAATGTAAACCATATTTTTTATAAAAAAAATAGTGTTGTTTTACGCAGCTGATAGTAATACTCTAGCTGCTCGTCGTTGTTTGTACTTCTTTTCCTTGTGTCTAGCTGAGTTTTGCTCCTTGTGTTCGTCGTCGTACTTCTTTTGTTTCGCTACTAATTTTTCTTTGTTCTTCTCATAGTAACGTTTTTGGTAGGTTTTGATAGCCTCCTTGTTTTGTTGATATTTTTTGGGAGAGTACGTCATGATTTATATTATATACTTTATATATTTTTCGCTTAAGATGGACTCACTTTTTATACGAAAATTGAAGCGTTGGGTATGAGGATTAGAAGGGGGGTTGGCGATATGATTAGGTTAATAGAAGTTTTAACGTGTATGAGATATGAGACTGGTGGTTTATGTTAGGTTAGATAGTTTTGAATTGTTTAAGTGAGTTTAGGTGATTGTAGGAGATTTTTAGAGATTTTTGGAGATTTTTGGAGATTTTATAACATAAAGTATAAAGGAAAAGGGTTTTAAATATGGTTAGGTGACTAGGTTAAAAAACGTACACGTAAACAGACGTAATTACTACTCGTACCATTTATCACGGCAAACATGTAACCTGTCTAAAACACCTAAACGCGTAAATAGTTTTTACGAAGCTTAGAAATGTCAAGTATATCTCCAAAGAAGATGCACTTTTTACGATGTTACATGTTCGCCGTGATATGCGGTATCCACTGCGATGTTCACGAGTGTATCTACCATCCGATTGAACTGTGGGAAACGATGTCGCCAAGAGAGGATCATTAGTTGGTCCGCAAGCCGGTGGTTTGCCAGTATAGATCTGAGGGTGCTGCGCTTTCAGAGGGTATTTGACAAGAGTAGTACACATTCGATCTTAATTGACATGATCAGTATAAACGGATGGTGACACAAGATTACTGAATGCGGACAGTACTTGCCAGTATCAGTAAAGGCCGCCCTACTTGTCTTGGCGACGAAATCCTGTAAAGTACTCCGCTTATGTCAACAATAAACAAACATATTTCTAAACAACCTCTCTATAGTTGGATTTAGTTACCCTTTCGGGCCGTTAATTTAAGCCATGTCCAAAACCTATCTATAGTCCAAAGCCTATCTATAGTCCAAAGCCTATCTATAGTGTACAGTAGCATGGCGATGTCTACTACCTTAATTGGCCACAGTTTATATTTGTAGATCGCGACGGCAGTCTGTGCAGATTCAACGCGTCTCCCTTATAGCAGCGCAGACAACAGCGGATTATTGTTTTAGTGTGCTAGCACAACAATTACACAAATAAGTAAACAGCTTTGATGGGTGGAGTGCTCGTACAACTCATGATACTCACCTAAGCAGTAAGCTGATAGAGCTAAGTCTTTGAAACGGCTACGAAATGGTTCAGCAACTTCGTGCTGACTGCTGAATTGCTTTAAGTATGATACCGATATGGAGCGCAGCCAATTATACTCTACTGTTTCTGTCGAGATTCTAGTATCTATATACTACTTTTGACGGGACAAATTACTGCTCGATCCCTTTCTGGTACTGTCGGAGATATTACTACTGTTGTCAATTAAGATTGAATCTATACTACTCTTGTCAAATTCCCCTTGATTCGTATTCGTCAGTTTACTAATACTGTACGAAACGAAACTCGATTCACTTATGTTGAGTATGACAAAATTATTTTGAAAATTTTGAAAACTATTGGGCGTATACCAACATGGTTTTTAATGTTTCCTTTATCCCCCATTGAGCATACGAGTATGCTTTCCATCCTACGATCATTTCGAGAATAGATTATCGCTCTTTCACACTGATTCAGCGACATAAACTCCGTCGCGACCTCAATGAAATCCAAACAACAACATACTTAGTTTTCGGCTCAAACAACGCACTATATGGTGCCGAAGATAGAATGTTTGGAGTTAGGCAACCAAGAACAGTACCATAGAGTCCGGATTGAGTGAGACAAACGATTGAGTGCGACACGCGTAAAAAAAATAAAAGGAACAGCATACAGAACCCAGTACAATGGTACTTTTTACAGTTTTCCCCGCCTAATCTGGAACTGCAAGCTGCTACGTACCTTCGAGAGCTTGTGCCTGCGTGCAGTAATGACTTGAAACTGATTCGACTGATGTACTGAGTTAAAGTAGATTTAGCGGGAAAATGTCGCCAAACGGGAAGACTCCATGCAACCAGTGGTTGCTAGATTGTAGTAGTAAATGAAAGGCTCACAGTGAACATTATTTATTGTAGTACTAGTTCACTCGCATAAAGGTAGAGACCAGTATCGATCGATACATCGCCGGTCTGCCTCAAGAAAAAATCTCTATTTTGACAGCGTTGCAATGGGCCTCGCTAGCTTGGGAGGCAGTTACCTCAAGCACTATTAGGAACTGCTGGGGGCATTCTGGTATCACAACTTCAATGTCAATGACTCGCATTATCAGCAAACGACTCGATCAGATTAATTCAGTACATTTTGCATCTATGTGAGCCCTGTGCGAATCGTGAAACCTCGCAGCTTTTATTGGTCCCACCTTTCCAGATTAGGCGGGGAAAACTGTACCACCAAAATGTGCCGGATTTATTATTTATTTTATTAGGCAATGAACTTTTTACGACTGTTTCCTATTTTACGGTATAGTAGACGGTTGTTGAACAACTTGTTCTGTCTGTAGGATGGTGAAAATAATCCTCTTGACCTTTTTAAGCAAATCAGCTGTTGCTCCTAACAAAGAACTATCGTTTATGATCGTACGCGTAGGAAGTTTATCATCAGACCCGTACTTAAGTATGAATTTCGCCTGAGGGATAAAGGTTAATACTTGGTTATGTTTCGTCGTAATCTCCAGCTACATAGCGAACACGCTCTAAAAGGATCGTAAACCCTACGGTATCTCGGTTCATCATCATCCCGCAGAAAAAAAAACGACGTGTGCTGACCTACCATTTTCCAAGTCGCGGAGTGAGGGTGGGAGGCTACTGTCGCACCTCTCGAAATCAAGTATCTGCCAAGCCATGCGACATCAGGTCGCTGTGCTGGTAGCAGTCGCCTTGCTAGTGGCTACTTCGACAGCTACGGGGTCGAACATCATGACAGATACTCTGTCGTTCGAACGTCGACTCGATATTCCCACCAAAACGAACTCCAGGTCTCATGAAACCCTCGAGGATACGGCCGAAGACGAACAAGAAGGGAGAGGCGTTCTTCCCACGACTGTGGAGTCGGTCGCAGCCTCATTAAAAATCACCACTGAACAACTACAGTCTTGGCTCAAGGGCGGAAGTAAATCAACTGATGACGTTTTCAAGGCATTGACACTTGACAGTGCAGCCGACGCCGCCATAGCCAACCCGCAGCTGCAGACTTGGATCAGCTACATGAAGCTCTTCAACAAGGAGAATCCAAAGCAGCAAACGAGTTTGGTTACGACTCTCGCTTCACATTTCAAGTACCATGATCTGGCCAAGGCCATTGAAGCTGCCAAGGCTGTTCCACAGACTGCCAAGTTTGCCAAATGCCTTGAATTCGAGCTGATTCAACGCTGGTTGGCTCAAGAGAAAAACCCCGACGAAATCTTTCAGCTGCTGAAACTTGATATCATGAGATATGATCTGTTTGAAAAACCTGAATTGTTCACCTGGGTGAAATACATGGACGATTTCAACGAAATGTACCCTGAAAAGAAGACAAGTTTGTTTGCGAGATTGTCGCGGCTTATCCCCGACGAAAGTGCCTTGGTAGACATGCTGATCAAGGCGAAGAGCATTGCGAGTACAGAGAAACTTGCGCTGCGAGTACAAGAAGAACAGACCAAGTTCTGGCTGCAGAATGGGAAAACCCCGGAAGACTTGTTTACTCTGTTAAGACTGGACAAAGCTGACGGCAGTCTTCTTGAGAACCCGATCTTCGACGCCTGGATTAAGTATGCGGATGATTTCCGTGAGATGTACCCCAAGATAAGTTTGGATCCCATTGCGACAATCGACGATTATTACTCGATTCCAAAGGTGGCAACGATGATTGTGGAAGCAACAGTTTCCCCAAGTACCTCCAAGATCGCGTACAGATTAAACACGGAGCAGTATCGGGACTGGCTTAATAGATTTCATCCAGCGGAAGTTTTCATGAAGCTTGAGTTGGACAGAGCTGGAAAAAACTTATTTCGGAGCCCACTCCTTGTCACTTGGCTGAAGTACGTTAGCTTTTACAGCAAAAAGAGGGGGAAGGTCAGTGCGACATCGCTTCTGAAACAACGCTTTGGCAAACAACAACTTGACAAAATGCTGCAAGAGGCACAGAAGGTCCCAGCTACGGAAAAGATTGCTTCGGGATTACTTAATTCACTGCATCACCGTTCGGCGAAATAGTCTAAGAGCAGGGGGTAGTAAAAAAAAAAATGTAGGGGGCTCCTGCTAGAACGTTAATGGTACATTAAGTACCGAAAATGTATGCGGATCATCAACCATTGAAGGTGATGACAGCATGGGATTATTCAATAGATCAAAGTTCAAGCATGGGCGTCATTGGCTTAGGTTATGTTGCAATTAGTGTGGTATTTGTGACTGTCAATGCGTAGGCATTATTCAATCGTGGCAGTGGCAGTGTTCGTCAGCTGGAACCTAGACGAACATGTCAACTTTGTCCTACGTGCGAACGTGATTGACCATCGCGCTCTTATGACCTCCATAAAAGCTGAAATGGCAGTTGCCTCTACTACCTGATACCATCCGATTCTAGCTCGAGCGGTTCCTTTCACAAGAAATGTTAGAATGCGGAGACGTAGTATGAAGGTGCGATCGAGTGGAGTGTTTACCACTCGGTAATGGCGGGCGCGTTGCAAATGCATTGATAACGTTGACAGTTATCGGAGTAATATTTCTCCCGCTCCACTAGCATTGGGAAACAACGCATAACACTGTAAAAATTTCCATTACTTTTTCTTTTCAAAGAATTGCACAGACACGCATATTATTAAAGTTATTAAACTATAATGGCGTTACGAATGGAAGGGTTTGCGCAGTTTTAATGCAGAAGGAGGATCAGTCTTCGCTGACTTTGCTTCGACAATGGAGATACTTGGTGAGATCGCTGAACGTCAAGCGGCTAAGAAAGAGCTAGACGAAGACCAGGTAAGTCGGTGATGGAGACAACACCCGGAAGTGGTTTAACAAAGTATGGGGGGTGGTATCCGAGTTTATTCTACGGCAACCGGATGGACTCATGCAAGCGCGATGTATTGGTCGTAGACATTCACAAAAAATACCCTTTACCTGAACATGGAGACCCTGGCGGTGTGCTTCACCTCGGTGTAGGCGAACCCGCCCTCGGATTTTTCATTGTGAATGAGGTTATGTATGCCGGTCCTCTATTCAGCAGCTACGAGTTGATGACACCGGTGGATGAACGCTTGACCGACAAGGAATTTAAAATGAAGTTACCGTCGATGAGTGCTCCTGAATGGACGGGACAATCATATCTGCGCTGCATAGATGATTCAAGTGATGAAGACGACGAGGGCTCATCCGACAGAGAATCCGAAGAAGATTTATCGGCATAGTGACAGCCAACAAGCGAAAGTTGTCGCTCTTTCATACCTATGCTTACATATTAAGAAAAGTATTGTTTTGCTATCCGTTGACGTTATAAAAGCATTTATTGAAATAATCGGAGCTGTTGGCCATCACGCATGGACCGAATCACTGACGGAATGTCATTAAGCAACTTGGAAATTGGACTCACTGGCGGCGAGAATATCACGTACAGAGGCAATGGTATACTCCACGTCGCCAGATGTTACATGCAGGTTGGTCACCGCACGGATCTCCTCGCCTCTCCAGTATCCACCGAAAACGATTCCCTTCTCCTCCGCGACCTTCTTCACGAGGGTTTGCGTGTCAATCTTGCAGTCAGAAGAAACCTTAAAGAACAACATGTTGGTGTCCACACTGTCCACGTCGATCTCGATGCCTGGAATTGTGGACAGACCGTGTGCTAGAGTCTTCGCGTTCTCGTGGTCCTCAGCTAGGCGGTCGAACTGGTGCTCCAGACCGTAAAGCGCACCAGCTGCAACTACGCCCGACTGACGCAAACCGCCGCCAAGCGATTTGCGTAGCCGCTTAGCCTGATGAATGAATTCTTCGGATCCAGCGAGGATGGAGCCGATGGGTGCGCCTAGACCCTTGCTGAGGCAGAATGAGACGGTATCGGCGCCCTTCACCAGGTCCTCAAGAGCTACACCCGAAGCCACACTGGCATTCGCAAGGCGCGCACCGTCCACATGGAGGCTCAGGTTGTGCTCCTTACAAAAATTCTCCACGTCGCGGATATACGAGAGAGGTAGCACCCGTCCACCGCAGGTGTTGTGAGTGTTTTCGATCTCCACCAACGACGTCCGTGGGTAGTGAATGTCGTCCGCGCGGACAGCGCGAGCCATATCACTGAGCTTGATCGTGCCGTCCGGTTGGTTCGGTAGAGTAGCCAAGCTGACACCCATGTACGCTGTAAGATAAAATAGTGAGCTCCCCGTCTCAAGCAAAAAAATATAGACGAATGCAACTGGAGACTCACCGCTGGCGCCGGCGCCCTCGTAGGTGAAGATATGCGACTTGTTGCCGCAAATGACCTCGTCGCCGCGTTGGCAATGCATACCGATGGCGATCAAGTTGGACATTGTGCCACTGAGGAGTCACAGAGACAGGTAAAGTTCAGTTTGGGGATGAGCAAACTTCAGAAATGGCACCAAGCAGCAAAATGTACGTACGAGGGCACAAACATGGCGTCTTCCTTGCCAAGCATACTGGCGACCACTTTCTGGAGCTGCTTAACCGTCGGGTCCAAGCCGTAGACGTCGTCGCCCACTTTGGCGGCTGCCATGGCCTTGCGCATTCCAGGCGTCGGACATGTGATGGTGTCCGACATGAAGTTAATTACGCGGCGTGTTGCAGCCATGGTTTTGGTCTGGGGCTCGAGCTGGATGATCTGAAAATGAAGTGGCTGAAGTGCCGGCAGCGGCGCTGATGCTGACGTAGCTGGGTGGACGGACTCCCACACGCGAGAGTTTTTGCACATGCAATGGTGAAATTAGCATGCAAGTTGCGCTGGTCGCAGCGACATGACACAAACAAAGCACCAGAAAGGTAGACAGTCGAGCAAAAAGGTTCCATACAGAAGGCAAGATTTTACAGGTTTGCCATAGTTTTTACGCCCGTGTTTACGTTCGACAAAGGATTTCTATCGCATACAAACTCCAACACAAAGCAGGAAGATTCGTGTGGTGGGTGATCGATAAGGAACTTTCATGTGGTGCCGTCTGAGTGTAAAGCGCACGCGTGTGGACAGCGAATGAGAAAAGTACTTTTCCAAAGGACAACCGTAGCAGCGACCCAAAGGCCGTCACATTCGTCATCAACATAGGCAACATCAAGTTAACATTATACTGTAATGTAGATCATTCTCGCCTCAAATTCGGCAGCAAAAACGACAAGTGGAGGGGCAGTCCATGCAATGTCAAAGCATACGTTTTATTTGCTGGCCCACTAGACTCACCGCCAATAAATCCCACAGGAATTCCGTTTCGGTGCACACAGCAGAGAAACCTGAAGCTGGAAACGATCAAACGCCACTGTCAAGGTTACATCGAAGAACTTCGACCAGCTTGTTAAAATCGGGAATGACCTGCTCCACCACAACCTGAGGCCTGTTTGATGTAATTCACGTTTTTCCAGAGGCGAGTTGCGTGGCACGGTTGCAACGTCGGCGCTCTTCTTGTTTCCGCCTCTTGTATTCATCCTGAAGGTGATGCCATTCAACTAGTGCATGATTCTGTCTTAAAGTCTGCGCTCATATGATTCATGAAGGTGTTATCGTCATCAATCCACATGTGCAAGTTTGTCACCAAATACAAGTTCGTCAACATCCATAACCAGCGCTGTTCCTTCGCATACATCTCCTGATGAAACTCTGACAATTACTCCCCACATTCATGCTTCAACTTTAGGATCTTTGTTAGCCAAAACTTTCCGGTCGTGGCCACGAATCTTCATCAGCACGTGCACAGCCATCCCTCCGGCTGCAACAACTTCCTTCATGCACCTGAAATGCACTTCTCTCTTCGATAACCAAACAACGCAGTGAAGTCCCCCACGATCTCAGTTCAACAGCGCGCGGACCGACGATACGGTGTACTCAACATCTTCCGCAGATATGTGCAGGTTGGTCACGGCTCGCACGCGGTTGCCGTCGGCGTAGGCCCCAACGAGCACCCCCTTCTCGGATCCCAATTTCTGCACGAGCGTCGTCGCGTCCAGCTTGGCGTCCTTGGTCAATGTAAAGAAGACAATGTTCGTATCCACTGTGCTTGGGTCAATTTCGACGCCCGGAATGCTAGAGATGCCGTGCGCGAGAGCCTGCGCATTCACATGGTCTTCTTCGAGACGGTCGAACTGGTTCTCAAGCGCGTACAGCCCTGCCGATGCGATGATACCGGCTTGGCGCATGCCACCGCCCAGAGACTTGCGAAGCCTCCTGGCGTGATGGATGAACTCTTCTGATCCGGCAAGGATGGAGCCGACCGGAGCGCCCAAACCTTTGCTCAGACAGAGTGAGACCGAATCGGCACCACGTGCCAGTTCGTCCATGGGGATGCCGGACGCCACGCTGGCGTTGGCCAGTCGAGCTCCATCGACGTGCAGGCGAAGGTCACGCTCCTGACAGAACTGCTCGACCTCGCGAATGTAGGACAAAGGTAGTACCCGTCCTCCACAGGTGTTCTGCGTGTTCTCGATCTCTACGAGTCTCGTGCGCGGGTAGTGCGGGTCGTCGTCTCGGACGGCGTTGTGAATGTCCTTAATGTCGAGGGTCCCGTCCGGCTGGTTGGGTACGGTGTGTAGACTCACTCCCATGTACGCTGCAGAGAACAAGAAAACCTCAGTCAGCTACATTGTAGTGTAGTAGTCGTGGTTTGCTGTACCGCTGGCTCCACCGCCTTCGTAGAGGAAGATGTGGGCTTTGTCACCGCAGATAACCTCATCCCCCCGGCGGCAGTGCGTGCCAATAGCGATGAGGTTCGACATGGTGCCACTAGTTGCAGAAACACACATAGAAAACGTTAGATTCCAAGTGTCATGTGCAGTGGATCGAACATACGAGGGCACGTAGAGCGCAGCAGGCTTGCCCAGTCGCTCGGCCGCCACCTTCTCGAGCCGCTTCACGGACGGATCTGCGCCGAACACGTCGTCGCCCACCTCAGCAGCCGCGATCACCTGGCGCATGCCGACGGTGGGGCACGTGACGGTGTCGGACAGGAAGTTCACGACAGCACGCGGCACCTTGGTCATCGTAAGTCTCCGCTACGCTTTGACTTGATTTGGTTATGACTTGAGCCGTTAGCAGCAAGATCTGCACAGCCCCACGTTCAGTATCCGGAAAGTTGAAGTTGACGAAGGTTTGTGTTGTTCTTGTGTTCACTGAGGTAAGATGGTATATTTTCTAAGAAGAACGCTGCCTTATAATACACGCTAGCAAAATGGTCATCAAGTATCCTATATATCCCGGCTCGCAGCGCCCCACAGACAAGGGGCAGCGGCGGGCAAGGCTTGCGAGGGCACCTGACGTTACTTGTACATCGAAGGAAGCTTTCTTCCGACTCTCCGCGCTATGAAAAATAGAGGAGCTCCACGACATCGCTCGCTCATTGCTCCAAGTCTTCTAATGGCGGACAACTGCTTGCCATCTTCGTGTCGCCCGTAAGTTACCAGGCGCTGTTATCGTCGCTAAAGCCTCCGCCACGGGAGCCACCGCTGCGGCCGCCACCATAGCCACCGCCGCCACCGCCATAGCCGCCGCCGTAGCCGCCACCACCACCGTAGCCACCGCCACCGTAGCCTCCACTGCCACCACGGTTGCCACCTCCGCCACGCTCTTCGTTACGGTAATCCCTAGCGCCGAAGCGAGAGCTGCTACGTCCACCGCGGCCGCCACGGCCACTGCGGCCTCCACCACGGTATCCACTGTTGGCCATCTGGTCCAGGAAGGCTGGGATCTCCTGACCGTTCTCCGACATCAACTCGTACATCTCGCGAGCGATGTTACGGTTCTTCTCATTCATCATCGAGAGAGCGTAACCCACGTTACCCACACGGCCGGTACGGCCGATACGGTGGACGTAGTCGTCGATGTTGTTGGGCAAGTCGAAGTTGATAACCTGCGTCACACCGTCGATATCGAGACCACGGGCGGCCACATCCGTGGCCACAAGCACGGGCGTACGGCCCGACTTGAAGCTGGCCAGGGCCTGTTCACGCTCACGCTGCGAGCGGTCACCGTGGATCGACGTGGCCGGGAAACCCTCGCGGCACAGCATGTCCTCCAGGAAGTCAGCACCACGCTTCGTCTCCACGAAGACCAAGATCAAACCGTCCTGCACCTGGTTCAGGAATCGCACAAGGTAGTCCTCCTTGTCGTACTGTTCAATGTACTCCACCGTCTGCTTCACATCCTTCGAGGCCGAACCAACACGGCCGACCGTCAGGAAAATGTAATCACGTAGGAAATCGGACGCGAGACGCTGGATCTCGCGCGGGAACGTGGCGCTGAACATGAACGTCTGACGTTCACGGGGCATGTCCTCCTGCTCGACAATGCGGCGAATCTGGGGCTCGAAACCCATATCAAGCATGCGATCGGCCTCGTCCAGAATCAAGAAACGGATGCAAGACAGAGAGATGCGGCCGCGCTCCATCAGGTCCACGAGACGGCCGGGAGTGGCCACCAACAGGTCGCAACCGCGCTCCAGCTCACGTAGTTGACGGCCGACCTCAGCACCACCATAGATAACAACAGGCGCGATACCCGTGCAGTAACAGAACTTCTTGGCCTCGTCGTGGATCTGCGACGCCAGCTCACGCGTGGGCGACAGGATCAATCCGGCCGGGAAAATCTTGCGCGAGCGGCCGTGGCCGACATCGGGCGGGGGCGTGCCGCCCACACGCAGCATGGCCGCCAGCGTGGGGAACAGGAAACCGCCCGTCTTACCGGAACCTGTCTGGGCGCAGGCCATCATGTCGCGGCCGGCCAAACCGATCGGAATCGAGTATTTCTGCACGGGCGTGGGCTTCGTGTACTTGCACAGCTCCAAGTTGCGGATAACCTCCGGGCCAAGCTGTTCCTCTGAGAATTCAGTGACCGGCTCGGGCACGTTCTCGCCGCTCGTCTCGACGGGGATGTCATCGTACTTGTCAAAGTTAATGCCGGACGACTTGGCGTCGCCGAACAGCTCGTGCTCTAGACGCTCATTACGGCGAAGGTCACCGTGGTAGCCTAGCTCATTAACGCGAGCGCCACCGCCACGACCGTAGCCGCCGCCGCCGCTGCCGCCTCCATAACCGCCACGACGGTCGTCGCCGTATCCTCCACGGCGGTCGTCGCGACGGTCCGACTCAAATCCAGACCAGCGCGAGTTCATAGCACGAGGCGGGCCATCGCCGCGCTCGCGGGAGCCGCTGCGGTTGCCATAGCCGCGTTCGCGCGAGCCGCCACGACGATCATAGCCGCCGTAGCCGCCGCGACGGTCATCAAAGCCTCCGCGACGATCATCGTCGCCACGGCCGCGGTCGCCGCCGCTTCCGCGCATATGCGGCGGTACGTATGCAGATCTTCCTGTGAAATTATATAACAAATAAGAGAGATAGAGAGGGCCACGTCAGTCAAAGGGGGGTTTTCTCATCATAACGAAGCTTAGACTGCACGTAGAGCCACGCGCGCGCCATGAAAAGAAGGCCCAGTCAATAGACTTTCTTGCTGACGTGACGACGCGCGGGTTTTCGAGCTTAGGATTGCGCAAAAGACCCACCTTCCGCCATATTTGTTGCTCCTTTCTTCTTCCTTGGGGCTTCTTGCTCTCAAAAGCGAATGGGGGGTCGCTATCGCCTGCGCGCCATTCAATTCCAAAGAGGTTTTGTGTCGAATTCCGATTAGTCAAAAAGATCGTCGTAAAAGACGGCGATTGGCCAGAATGTTTTATTTGAGGTGCTAAGTGATTCGAGAAAAAGAATTTCGACCAATCCAGAAGCTTCATGTCGCATACTTTGCATACTACTGCCACCGGACGGACAAACAACTCTACAACGTGCCACAGAACACCATCTGACAACACAAGTGCGTGGCAGCAGATATCATCTCTCCCTTTCTGGTGCTAACTTGAGTGGAGGCTGCTCTTGGCTGCTGATCGTCTCTCCCCACCTCCATTCGAGACGCCGCCATTTAGCAACATGAAACCAACCACCTGGCATGCCTATCAATAGGCAGCTCTGCCGGGGGTTACCATTGGCAAGATGAAGTGTTTCCGTTGGTCCATTCCAAAGCTCGCGAGTTGAAGTGAAGCATGCAGAGCCTGGACGCTGACAGCAACCAGCACGACGCCGAGACGCATTGCACTGGTGGTGGCCGGGAGATCACGATCGAGGTGCTGCTGCACGCCACCAAGCTCAGTGTGGGCAAGAAGGAGCATCTCTCCCACTACCTCAAGCGGATCACGCATCTGGCGTTGAATGGAGACGCCAGCAAAGCCTTGATGAAAGGCGGCAGCGACCCTCATGCCATTCATAAGATCCAGAATCTGCACCACTGCCCCAACCTGAAGGTGCTTTACCTCTACGACAACGAGATAGAGACCATCGAGAACCTCGACGTTGTTCCACATCTCGCCCACCTGCATCTTCAAGGCAACTGTCTGCGAAGAATCGAGAATCTGGAGTCTTTGAGGCTATTGGAGAAGTTATATCTTGAGAAAAACAGCATCGTACGGCTCGAAAGGTTGACGGGCTGCTCTCGGCTGCAAGAACTGTACTTGGCGAACCAAAACGTACCAATTGATACACATTTCTCGTTCGAAGAGGACACGATGCGAAATTTGGCGGTACATTCAGTGCTGCCAATCGATGGTTAGCTACCTGTACCTTTGTTGACCTCTTGCGTGTTGTTTACTGTGTCCATGCAGTGTTCTTTGCGAATATTGGACTTATCCAGTTGTCGCGTGGCCTCCACTAAACCGCTCACGTTACTTCGCTGTTTGGAGCAACTTGATCTCTCCAAGAACCTCATCAGTGACTTGGAAGAGATTTTTGCGCTGGTTGGTGGGGTCACTTCGCTAGTTGAGCTAGATCTGCGAGGGAATGAAGTCACTGCAGCCCCAAAGTATCGTGAGAAAACCATCACCTTCTCCTCCGCACGTTTAGGTACGTATCCTCTGCGGATAGATTCATGAGGATTCAACTCACGTGTTGCCTTGTCCCGCAGCGTTACTGGATAAGAAGGACATCGACCCAAATCAGCGACGGATGATGCAGTCTCACCTTGCACACAAGTACAGGAAGCGTCTTGGCCCAAGTTCACGTCGTCAAAGTCCGTCGTCAAGCGAAAGAAAACGAAGCGATCTGAGCAGCGGGCCAAGCGAATCGACCAGACCATTGAAACATGGTGCGACCGTCCACCAGCTGCGTAGCATGCAGTTCACGTCGACGCACTCGAAGCTCCAAAGTGACAGCGATGGTCTGGGGATTGCAGGTTCGTCGTGCAATCCTAACAGCACTGCTTTACTGAGATCCTCCAACAACAAGTACCACTAAAGCATTCGTTAAAGATGAGAGGCAATCACAAATTTGTGTGTCTTTAGTCAATTTAGTTCTTCTTGACTAGACCGAATGCCAGCACAGACGCCACGCCCACCGCGACGCCCACCGCGACGCCCGCCGCGAGGCCCAGCACAAGCTGCTGCTGGTCCTTCGACAGCGTGCACGTGGTAGGCTTCTTGGTGAACTGCGGGGTCGAGCGCGGGTTCTCGAGGAACTCGGCGATCAGCACGGCGTTCAGCGCCGCACCGCGTAGGAGCTGGTCACCAGACACGAACAGCTCCAGGCCGTGGTCGCCGAAGACCAGGCTCTTGCGCAGTCGGCCGGCTTCGATGTTGAACTTCTTGGTGGCGTTCTTGGGCATGGGGTACAGCAGCTTCTCCGGCTCGTCGACGAGGTCCACACCGTCCGCCTTGGCCAGGATCTCGCGGGCGCGGGCGATGTTCACAGGCTTAACAGTCTCGATAGAGAGCGCCTCCGAGTGCGCGCGCATGATGGGGATACGGGCAGCCGTGCAGCTCACAGCGAGGTTGGGCTCGCCAAAGATCTTGCGCGTCTCCCACGTCACCTTCATCTCCTCCTTAGTGTAGCCATTCTCCTGGAACTTGTCAATGTGCGGGATGAGGTTGAACGGAAGCGGGTACGAGAAGACCTTGTAGGTCACGGGCTCATCGGCTAAGAAGGCCTTAGCACCGTCAGCCAGTTCCTCCATACCGGCGGCTCCGGCTCCGCTGGCCGCCTGGTATGTGGACACGATGAGCTTCTTGATGCCAAATTCGCAGTGCAGCGGCCACAGCGCCATGGCAGCGATGGCCGTGGTGCAGTTGGGGTTGGCAATGAGCTTAGGCTGCGGCTTTCCGCCGTCCTTCTGGAGGAGAACATGGCCGTTGATCTCCGGGATCACGAGCGGGGTCTCCGGGTCGCGACGGAAGGCCGACGAGTTGTCAATAACCACGGGTCCATTCGGAACGGCGGCCAGTTCCTTGGCGTATTGCAGCGAGAAGTCACCCGACACGGCCAGGAAGACGTAGTCCAGTTTGGCCGCCTTCTCAATGGAGAAGAGCGAGATGGTCACCTCTCCGAATGGCGTGTCCACCTTCTTACCGGCCGAACGGGAGGACGCGAACAGCACCAGCTGCTTGACCGGGAACTTGTGTGCGGCCAGCACCGAGATGATCTCGATACCTACAGCACCTGTGGCGCCGCAGATACCGACCGTCTTTCCATTGGGCGTCGTCATGGTCAAGTAAAGCGCTGCGTGCCCTTGGCGCAGGAATTGGATTATGATGGGCGCGTACGGATCGATGGACGTCGCTCAAATAATCTTGTGGTGTGACGCACCTGAAAATTGTAGCCATATGAAAAGTCTGCTATATGTCATATCAAATGCTTTATGACAGAATTGAAGTTGACACACGTCTCACGTCGGAATCCCCAAGATCCACCTCGCTCCAAGCAGTGCATTCCCGAAGACCCCGAGACGCTGACGATGCTACCGACTGCCATGAAGTCTGCGCTGCTGCGTACGTCGCGTCTAGGCGCACTAGCGACGCGCGCCTTCTCGTCGTCGAGCGAGCCGTTGGTGCTGGTGGAGAAGAAAGACAAGTACGCGGTCGTGCGCATGAACCGGCCTCCCGTCAACTCGCTCAACACGGCGGTGCGTCCAGCTGTAGGGACGTATTGGAATGTATCGTAGCTGATTGTGTACACGGTGTATTTCATAGTTAATCAAAGAGCTGGATGCGACCATCAAGAAGCTCGAAGACGACAAGAGCGTGCGGTATGATACCAGAAGTATATTTTTGTGCGATGATATAGTGTTTAACGAATCTATCTGTATGTTTGTTTTTGCAGCGGCTTCATCCTGGCGTCTTCTAACCAGAAGGTCTTCTCCGCCGGCTTGGACATCATGGAGATGTATCAGCCACAGGTAGAAACTACAGTGAACTAATACCGAAATGCCTGTAGTCGTAATCTAACCGCAACAATATCATTCCACAGCCAGCGAAGATCACTAAATTCTGGACGTCGCTTCAGGATTTGTACTTGCGTTTATACACGACGCGTCTTGCTGCAGTCGCTGCCATTGAGGGCCATAGTCCCGCGGGAGGTTGCCTGCTGGCCATGTGCTGCGACTATCGCATCATGACTAGCGGCAAGCCCATGATCGGTCTCAACGAAACGCAGTTGGGTATTGTGGCCCCCACGTGGTTCCGTGACACGTTTGTCAATACTATTGGCCACCGTGAGGCCGAGAAGATGCTGGGACTCGGACTGCAGGTGGATGCAACCAAGGCGAAGTCAATCGGCTTGGTGGACGAGGCTGTGGCGCTGGAGGAGGTTTTCCCGCGTGCTGAGACTGCGATGGGCAAGTGGCTCGCCATTCCGGGTATGTTACACTGACTTTAAGGCTAGTTCAGAAAGATATGCATGCTAATGCCGTATGACACTTTAGATATGGCGCGCGTGAAGACCAAGCAACTGATGCGTCAGGAGACTGCGGACCGACTGATTGCCATCCGTGAGAAGGATCTGGAAGCTTTTACTGACTTTGCACAGACCGACAAGGTGCAGAAGTCATTGGGAATGTATCTCGCTTCTCTTAAGAAGAAGTAGAATGCTCCAGCATGTGAACATGTAAAGATCGAGCTTATCTTCAAAACAAAACAAAACCTTGTTCTCTGCTTTGCTGTTCAGACGTGCCACTCTACCTTCAATTCCTCCGTCTCCCACATCTTTTACAGATTTGATAACCTCATCTTGGCTTCTTATGCATACGCTGAAATGTCAACACATTTGGTAAGACATCCCTCCAATATCGAGCGTAGTACAGGAATCAGATAGCTATCGTCCAATTCTACAAGAAGGTTTCTTGAAGTGACTCAAAGCGCGATGCCATGCGTGCAAACGACGTCACAAACACGCTTCCGAAGCTCGAAAAACGTGGTGCAACTTTCACCGTTTGCTGCCAGCTCAGCCTCCTCTTCAGATTCAAGTCGAAAGTCGTACAACCGATTCTGCTTCAGCGAGCAGAACTTACATGTCATCATGTGAACTGCCCATCAGCTTTCTCTTCGCAAAATTGTTGAAGATTTCTAGCTATCAGCGTACTACTCGTCGACGACGGAGTGAAAGGATACCGCTCTAACAGATCCTTCGGAGTCAAAGACGTTCCAGTTTGCACCAATGCAGCGGTAAAGGTGTTTACAGCAACCCCCTCGCCCATACTAAGTGGTGGCTTTGCACGATGCTATCGGATTCGAAGAATAGTGAGAATGAACGCTTTATCGTCTCGGAAATTACATCCTCGATGGAATCGAGTAAATTTCACTTTGTCTGAAGTACAAGAATTTTCGAATTGAATCTAGGCAGCTTCCAAATACGATGCTCAATATGGCAGTCGTCTTTCAGGCACATCGCATTACTTGTAGGCAAACATTTCTTGGAACACACTGACGTAAACGCTAATACCATGCAGGAACGTATCCTTGGAGAGGCACTCATTGTGTTCGTGTAGCAGAATCTCGGTTCGCTTCATAGGCGAGAAGCCGATAGCTGGAACACCCACCTTGCGCAGAAAGCGACTGTCAGTTGCTGCTGGGAAAATCTCCGTCTCCAACGTTTCACCAATCTGAGCACAAGCCTTTTGAAAAAGCTGCCACCAGACGTTGTCAGCATCAAGTGAAGTGACGTAGTGGTCGTGCAGCGGATCCGTCCACGGGGCAAACTCCCAGGAAACCCCCTCGGCAGCACACCATTCGTCCAGTTTCGCCTTCATAGCCTCCATATCCATCCCGGGCGACACGCGAATGTCAAAACCAGTGATCGCTTCTGTCGGGATCACATTGAGAGCGTGCGTTTTACCACCATCCTGGGAAACTCCACTCTGCAGCGCAGTAATGTTGATCGTCGTGACGTCTCCAAGCTTTTTCTTCTTCATATCGCCGTGTTTACATCCGCTATCCGCCCCAAGTGCCTTCTCCTGTTCGTCACGGAATGTCAGTGCCTTGTTGCAAATGCCTATGATCTTCATAGTCGCTGTGTCCTTGATAAATCGACTGCCGTGACCGGTCGGCCCCTCGGCCTTAACGTACACCCACCACGGAGATCGTTCGCCGTAGAAGACGGTGAACGCATCGCCCGGGTTAGCCAGTCCCTCGTCAAATGCGAAAGCAACGGGCATGATGGTCTTGAACTGCTCGGTTTCTAGAAAATTAGCCATTCCCTCGGCACCTCCAATTTCTTCGTCCGGGACAAATAGCAGGTAAATGTTGCGCTTGGGCTTAAATCCCGAGGACATGAGAGTGTGCACTGCTTCCACGTACTGAATACACACACACTTCATATCCTGAGCTCCTCGCCCGTAAATACGCCCGTCCGCCAACACTTTTGCCTATGTAGGCAAAAGTGAACGAAGTAAAACAAACCATCGAATTAGTCAGCTTTACAGCATTGGGAAGTCAAAAACTTACATCGAAAGGGTCGTACTGCCAGTGCTCGGCCATCGCCGGCACCACGTCATAATGAGAGTTCAGAATGATCCCTGGAAGCGTCGGATCTTCGCCTTCCCATGTTGCCTACATCAATTTAATACATCGTTAAACAAAAAGCACTGACCTCTGGAACGGTGACACACATACGAGAACGATCGGCTTGTTCTCAACGGGCGAGAAAACCTGCACTGGAAGGTTAACTGGCAAAATAAAAGCAGCAAACATTAGTAAAACAGCCACTCCGGTTCTAAAGTAAATGTTCAGTTTGACGCACGCTCCTCCAGGTATTCACGAAGCCACTGCGCACACTGATAATTGGCACAATAGTTAGCTCCTAACAACACCGATAGCGCCAAATCAACACCACGTTTACCTCGTTATAGCTGCCACTTGGTCCTTCCGCGCTGACAGTGCGCAGACGCAGGAGATCTAGGAACCTCTCGACGGGGTCCTTCCACGCCATCGTACCGCGTGATTGGCAAAAGTTAAACTTCAAGTGGGAGAAAATATCACAAAAATTCAGCTGAAAATTTTAGAAATGTTTGCGAACAAACAGATATTTCATCTCTCTACAAGAGCACTTGACCTTTTGACCAATGGAAGACACCCGTCATGCGATCCGCCAAGGGCGCGTCTTGGCGGATGAAGGGCTCTATGAGCACGCGATGGAGACGTGGAAGGCGGCGCTGAGCGGTGCGTACGCTTTGCAAGACTATGCAGGGATGTTTGTACTTTCCGGGAACATCGGCGAGGCCTGTGTGCGGATTGCAATGCAATCAAAGGAGAGCTCCAGAGCTTCGAAGCTGCTGCACGAGGCCGTGGAAAATCTGGACTACGCGCTGCAGATTGTGGAGCAGTGTTCGCTCCGGGATGTTCTTGGTGGTTATCGAGTGCTGTATCAGGGTGTGAGGCGCGCAGAGATGTTGAAAGTGAAAGCGCAGAAGTTGATCAACAAACTGCAGGTGGTTGAGGAGGAGGTTGAGGCGAAGAGGGAGGTATTGCCATGTACGACGTGTGGAGGGGTGGGAGAGGAGATTGTGCTGGACGAGAATGATGGTTGTTACTACTGCAAGAGGTGCTATGATGAGTACTATGCTGCTAAAGACGACGTTTCGGCTCCAGTAGACTTGGCTATTGGCAAGGAGAAGAAGGTTGATACATGTGGCCTGGATGTAGATGACAGAGCCACCGACACTCAGTGGGCAGCTCAGCTTGATTATCAAGACAGTGGCAATGATGCGATGCCTACGGATGAACAAGTTGAAGCAATTGAAGTTGCCCCAATTCGCAAGGATAAACAGATAGATGAGGTTGCTAAAGAGACGAGCGAGGAAATAACGCAAAGGGTTATCGAGGGGAATAATGCTGAGAAGTTGACGCAAGATCGAGTTCGATATGAGCGTGTGGAACTGGGATCGCTAGCAGATTTCCTGGCAGGAAAGCTCCACTTGGAGAATGAACCGCAGCAGCTCGAGACCCAACGGAACAGTGGTTCGAAAGACGCAGGAGTGTTTTCGACGAAAGCGACAGATGGATGTGGACAAGAAGAGGTTAGCGAGGAACCTGTTGCCAACACCAAGGATCAGAGCGATGGAACAGCAAATCCAGCTGAATTGGATGAGGATGGAGCATGCGTAGAAGAAGCACCGGCTCTGAGTGAAACTGAAGATACAGCAGAAAATATCCCTGACAAGCTTGAGTACTCGATAGCCCAACTACTAGAAATCCGGAAGATTTCGCCCAGTGACTGTCCGGAGACTCTTCTGGTATCACCCGTGCGCGACGACGGCACAGCTTCGACTCCGGCTCGTAATAAGCCCAACAACTCGCGAAAGAAGTCGAACGCGAAGAAGACTTCGAGGTAAGCACCTTATGCACTGTTGAGCTGCATTTACTTGGTGGTCAAAAATGCGGTCGACTGAATCTGATTTGCCTTGTGCTTCCTTTTTGCTAGATCAGTGACCTCACATAGGGAGAGCAACGCGGACCCCAGCCACTGTAGCCAAGCTGCAACATCAGAGAAGCCAACCATCTCACCACTACCGACGTTGGAGCTGTGCGCTGCGATGCGCAAGGGCCTGCAGGAGCACCAAGAGCGCCAGGCAGACAGCGGTGCCATTTGCGACAACTCGATGGCTCCTGGCTCAACCGAGGTTCTCATGACGGCGGCGGCGCTGCTAAACGGACCCGACAATGGCGTTAGTGTCCCATAGTAGCAGAATGAGGGGAGCCTTGCTGTGAAAGGCTGAAGTATCTTCGATCTCGTCAATCACGATTCCGTAATCACTGCGATCACGGTTGTAATTAATTTGGAGGCTTAATTAATGCGGTGCTGTGATTGGCCAATCAGTGTCGGCTACAAAAAATTGACGTCATCCTTCAGAACAATCTGCAAACTATTCGATATCACAGTCTCCAATCAATTGTTCTTCTCCAAATTAGAAACTTCAAGATTAATTCTTCCGAATCCTTTTAAGACTTCAAGCCCAAAATATCAAGTATATCGGGGTCTGTGATTTCATGTATCGCATATCAAAGTAGAGACTACCCAGAGTGATGGTCCCTCCTCACACCACACACGAAGAACGAAGCGCGCACAGACAACAGGCAGGACTCAAAGGCAAGAAGAGAGCCCGTGATCTTCCGCCCAGGCACTCAGAACCAGCTCACCGCGATGGGGGACCAAGAGGCCAAGAGTGCCGAGCTCACGCGCAGTTTCCTGTCCTTTCGGATGCTCAAGGAGGTGCTTCAATCCACAAACATTAAGGACGATGAAGAGGTGGGCGCCTATCCTTTTCTAGTTATATGCCCGATAGATTGACATCTAACTGTGTGCATGTCTCTAACATAGGCCGTAATGGTCACGCGTATGTGTGTGGACCCACGCCACGTGGAGGAGTTCGAGCGCCTGCTACGTATGATTCTCAAGACCACACATACCGTGGGTCACGTGTCCACGTGCGTGGTGCGTCCGCCACCGGGAGAATTCACTTATACATCGATCGTACGTGTCTTGTTGGAGGAATTTAGCCTCATTTATTCGTATTATACTAACGTTTTCTAAATTATTTTAGGTCAAGTACTCGGGATTGCAGGCAATGCGCCAGATCTATCCATCTACAGTCGAGAGCGGCGTGGACTTCTACAAACTATTAGCAGCACGTGATTCGCTGCTATTGGAGCCGCCTACGTACCAGATTGAAGCAGGTTTCGGCACGTGGATCGAGTCGGACGGCAATACCAAACCCATGAGAGGCGATGACCCTGAAGAAGATGATAATCTCGTGTACCAGAGTGTCCCTGGTCCATGCTGCAATGATTCATGTGAGAATCCACACGGACTGAATGTCCGTGCGTCATTCGTGGCGCCTACTAAGGATTTCCAGCTCTTTCGACCACGCTACCAACGCAACAACAAGAAAGGAGGACAAAAGAACTTGCGCTGCTTCCCATGCTGTCGTAACGGTCGCCACGTGAGCTCAGGATTCTGTGGAGATTCGATCCGAGTGCACGTGGCTGTCAGTCGCGTGACGGAGTCAGGCGGAGTCAAGATTTGCCCCATTCAGACGACGCGTCCAGCTGTGTTGGCCTTCGCGCGGTTCGTGAACCTCGAGGGCACTTTTGATCACACAGTTTCGGGACCTGAGGTCTTCCCTGGACAGACTATTGAGAAGACGGATGTGCTCGCTTGGGTGCGTGACAAGCAGCATCCGATGAATCCGCTGTTTCCTGGAATATTACGTGGTGCTGCTATGGAGACCTCGTCCCAGTCAGCAATTTTTGAGTTTAACGCCGAATGCAAGGCCTGGCATTACGGCTGGACTGCACCTCGTGGTCAGGGACTTTCTGGTAGCGATGCGCAACACGTATTGGAGGTGCTCTTCATGAAACCCATGGGATCTTACATGTACTGTTTGGAGCGTCTACGATCAGATGGCTTCTCTATCTACTCCAGTCGGAGAGCTAGTCACGCTGCTATCAAGCCTGAGACCGAAGCGTTCGAGAACCAGGAGACCGCAGACGACAGAAATCTCAAGCGGAAGCGCGTGGTCCGGACTGAGGCGGCGTCTCCTTCAGCACACGCAGTGATGTCCCAGCCCCCAGCATCCCCAGCATCGACAGTTGTTTCAAGCTGCTCAACTGATTCCCCGATCTTTTCCCCCTCCAAGGAAGACATGACGAATGGACGCGTGTCATCCGGGATGCGCATGACGGCACCTCCGACGTCCACGGGTTTTGTGGACATCACGTCGTCAATGACAGATGTACCGCCGTTCAAGATGGAGAATATTTTCGGCTCGGTGTCTTCGCCTATGGCCGTTTGTCCTCCAGTGTCTTCTGTCCTTGTGGACAGCGCATCGTCGGGCTTTGACTACCGTGGCCTTGACAACTTGATGAGTGGTGGTAGCATGTTACAGAACCAAAGCCTACAACAGCCGCAACAACAACTTACCCACCAACAGCAGCAACTGCTGATTGACCAGCAGAATCAACAGCTCCAGCGACACCAACGCGAGCAGCAAGAATTACTGCGGCACCAACAGCAACTAATCCAGCGACTTGCGGAGCAAATGATGATCAGTCAGCAGCAGCAGCAGCAGCGCCAGCAGCAGCAACAGTTACATGTGAATCACTTGCAAGCGCCCGGAGGACTCCAGAGTCACTCGTTGTTCCAGGAAGAGCAGCCCGCTCGACGAGTAGTTTCGACGGAGGAGCTACCGTGGTCCGAGCTGTACAATCTGTTTGACCCCACGCCTCTATCGCCGTCTAGTACTGACGATGACCCCGATCACGACGAGGAGAGTCTGCCGAGTCCTGGAAGCAGCCCGGGACCTTCTGTTGCCAGCTCGGGGATGACTTCTCCTTCCGTGGCGCTGACACAGCAGACCGTGTTGAATTACTTATAGCCTAGTTCAGGAGATACCCTCAAGTTTTTTTTTTTTGCCTGGGGAGGAAGTGAAAGCACGAGGAAAGAAGACAAGGAGTCTCCAAGGTGACAGGGAGAAGAAGCAAAAGTGCAAGAGGGCAATTGCAAATCTGCAGTATCTGACGCGCTCATATTTTTGACGTATACTTCACGAAGTATTCCTGTTGCTGTTTAGTGTATGCGCGCTTTGTGCCTGTTGTGACGTGATGTGGAATATGCACAAGGCGTGTACTCAAAAGAATAAGGCAGCAATAACCAACAAAGATCGGTGGTATTTTCGAATTGGTGGCGTATTGTACTTGTATCGTTTTTTTTTATTAAACTCTGCAGGTCAAACCAAAACACGAAAACAATGCAAAAAACCCCGCTATATTATCCTCTGTAATACCCTGGCCATAATAGATCCTCCGTCCTCCCTCAATAAGAAAATAAGCTGAAGACAACCCCCTTCAGACAAAATAAGCTTTTCCATCATCACGTTGCCGCAAACTCCTTCGCGTGAGCCATACACCATCCTTTGCGTTGAGCCCACTTGGAACATTTTTCAAACTTACAGCGAACGCCCCCACCGTGTGTACGACACAAGTGTTTCAGATGTGCCTTTTTGTTGCAACCTTCCACGGCACAGTACTCGCCGCCACCATGAGATTTGCACAGACCTTTGGACTGCGCTGCCCGCACACAGCCTTCCCTCTTGCAACGAGAGCCACCGCCATGAGCGATACACAGTCCACGGCTCTGACTGTTCTTCGTGCATCCCTCAAAGACACACTGGTGCGCGCCACCGTGCTTCTTGCATTTTTGGTGCGATCGAGCTCTGTTGGGACAGCCTGGAAACTCGCACTGCCGGCTGCGCGGACGCTTCACTGACTTGGCAGTTGCAGATTTTGTCGTCGACGTCACTATACTCGTAGGTGTCGTAGATGTCTGGGAACCAGTTGTGGCCACGCTTGTGGGTGTGAGCATTGCCAGTGACTGTCCACTGTGATACGATCCCAGCGAAGGCATCACTGCCCGCTTTGGCTCAATAGTTGGATTCTTTGTCAAGCTCCGGAACGAGGTAGCACTACTACTCGGAGTAGATCCAGCTATTGTGCCACTACTGACCGGTGCAGCTGCATATGCATCGTCGTAAGCTCCACGAGGTCTCTTTAAGGTACGTGCAGACGTGTCCAGCCCAGTTAAACCACGATCTCGTTTCACTAGAAACTCCGCTGTAGCAGTTGCAGCCGCCGGAGCGAGCAACCTCTCCAACTGTGGTTCCCTGATACTCAGCGTCGTTAAATTGGTACCTGTCCTCCTGTCCGTCGTCACTAGATGGTCCATCTTCATCATATTACTAGCAGTCGACGTGCCAAGTGGTGTCGTGGGTGATGCACCGGACTCCATGGCGTCGTTCAGATACGAATCCAAGTCCTGGTTAAACTCCGGAAGCTGCGGATAATCCATTTTCAACTCGTCATCTGCTGTCATGTATAGCGGCGGCTGAACCTGTTGCTGCTGTCCCTGTGCTGCGTCATTCTCCGTCTCGTAACCCATCACGCTGCCTCCCCCAGGTGCATTCCAGAGCGAATACAACGACGTATCATACTCTGGCAAAAATGAGTCCACACCTGCAAACATCGACGTCCCATTCGGCGACGAGAAACCGGACCCAATTCCTGATAAATTTGACGTGGTAGTAACGTTGCTGCTGCTGTGGCTGGTCGTTGTCATGGTCGCACTACTGGAAATCGGAGCATTTGCCGTCGAAGTGCCAGATTTCGACACGTTTCGACTGCTAAAACCCCAATTTGAGCTGAAATCTGGTAGCGGGTGTTCTGTCTCGAAAAGTGGAGACGGAAACCCCAAAGGTGTTAAAAAGCTGCCAGTTGTGCTGTTACTGGTACTTGGACGTGGTCTTTTCCCTGTAGACACAGTACCAGTGTCGGTAAAACTGCTCGTTTGGTTGAAGAGCAACGAGTTCGTGGAGCTGTTGGTGTTGCTTCGGTCCAGAAAGTGGTAGAAATAGGGTACTGTACTCGACGAGTTGTTGCTGCTTCCGCTCGTATTTGAGGACGGGACATTCTTCATCCTGTGAGGCAAATGATGGGAAGTTGTTGCTGTTGCCTGTGGAACCTGTGGCTGGCCTGTTATTCGATGCGGCATTGGCATGCGCAATTGCGCGTCGCGGTCGTAGTTGCCCATTGAAGGAGCGTCCGCGCTTGGCAGCGGCAACAAGTCGCCGCCCCCTTTTGTTTTACGCACACTGTTACCACTGCGGGTGGGGTTGTAATTGCCACTTCGAGTGAAAATGTTTTCTGTTGCTGTTGCGGTTGTTGCCTGTGCAGGGTTGGTGCCGAACCAAGTGGCGTCGGCTGAGCCCAACGGGCCGCCGCTTCCACTGCCGCCCCCGCTGTTGCTGCTCGTAGATGACAGTCCTAGTGCCCAAGGTTCGTCGGCGGCGCCTCCGGTGTGACCGAAGAGCGCTTCGTTGGCCGCGATCTCCAGCGCCGTTTTGTCCTTCGCTTGCGTCTGCTGTCGGTGCGCGCTGCGCCTCGTGCTGCCGCGGAGGTCTCGCTCGTCGATAAAGAGCTCCGCTTGGACTCCTGAGTTTCTTTTCAAAACAAGGGGAAGAACAAATTGAGAAAAAGATGGCGCTTTTATATGGGTGTCAGAGTCGGTACGTACCTCATCTGGCAATAGACACGCGCGAGTACTTCATTTGCGTCAGATCACGATTCGTATTTAAGAACAATTTATAGAGGCTTTACTTTAATCGTGTAAAATCATTAGGTAATTGTATTCTTTGAATACGATGATGAACAGGGTATAATATATGAAAGTGGAAAAATTTGCTACCGACTACGGTACTGCGGACAACCCATCACGGCTTTCATCGGAGTTCGCGATCAATAAACTTGACCTTCTCGTTCTCGATGCGTGCAATTTGAGACCATCGCCACCTTCAGAAGGCGGCTTCCTTGCCTATCCTTACGTGAGGCTCGTGGCTGAGCCTAATGGACAATTGAGAAACATGACCATTAGAGCACATGTTCAATTCCGAGGAGCAATGAACTGCTGATTGTACAGCATCACAAGGTCGGAATGGCCACCTAAATTGTCGATACAATTGGAATTTCCTTGGATTTGAAGTTTTTCCCTTCAACACAGCTCTACCACCGGAAATTAGGTTTCACCTAGTGCAACCTCAAGAATTATAGTAAGTACTAAACTAGAATATGCATTGCCGTTGTCAAGGAGATGCACACAGGAATGACGGACAGTTTTATTGCCTTCCCACCAAAATGGCATGACACTAAGCAGAGAAACAACGTGCGAGGAGATTGGGCGTCAAACCAAAAACAAAACTTGCCAATTCGATGGTTTAGCTGTTGTAGATTACTTGATTGCGCACGCCGCGACCAGCTCATATTGAAGTATGATTCGCCACAGTCCTTGGCGTGAAGCGCTTGGGAGTTGAGTTTGGAACTCCTGCCCAGCAGCCGCTCGACTACCGCCAGTGTGTGAGTGCCTCGAGATGCTGCACGAGAGGGATGCCCTGCACGTGAAAGCGGGCAAGGTACTCTTGCTTCTTGGTTCGCTGCTCGATGTTCCACCTACGGGCACAGCAGATACAGATATGAGGTTATCGTGCTCGTGATATTACCACTTCTGCTGCACGCATTACCTCCGACGAACGCGACGAAAGCGGACCCGATGCTCCTTTAAAAGTTCCGAGTGGGTGAGATCACACCGCGAATTAATAATGTCCTGCTGACAGAAAATAGGGATACAAACGTTAAAATTACTAAATGCAGCAAAATTCAATTGCTTCAATGACGTACTGCTGACTGCGTAGATGCTACCGGTCCAAACTCTTGCTTAACATCGTCTCGATCGCTGCTCTTATGTGCAGCTCCACGGAACGAACACGCCTTTATCTTCGACTTCGTCTACGATACCAACAACAAAACATTATCACAATTCAATTCAAAAATAAACATTTTTAGCGACCGCATCATTTTCATACTTGCAAAGGCGATGGATAGTCAATTCTACAAAACACACAAACCATTTTCAGCCTCCACAATTTCAACCTTCTCCCAAGTTCTCCGTACCTCTGCGACCGTCCACTTTTCACTCTTGCTTTTGCTACTTGCTTCTCAGCCTCTGTAGTCTAAATGGCAGAAACACACGCAAGCATTTCCCTGTAAATCACTCGTCTTTCTAACCTGTCCTAAATCCCCTCGTACATGTTCAAAAAAGCCCGAAATGTTGGAGGGTGAATCGTTTGGCTTCTCATCCATTGGAGACGCCGGGGCCGCACGACTGCTCAGCATAATGAGCTCTTCTGCCACTCGGAACGTCTCGGCATCGTGTCCGAGAGCTCGTGATCCGCTATTGTTGGTATCGAGCATGTTCTCTCGGTTGACCAACACGATGCAATCCGCTGTACTCGCTACTTGTGACTGCGAGGAGGGGTTCTATCCGCCTATAGAGCCTTTTGACGCGATTGCCGCTGCCTGTCACACCCCACCGTCGCTGGAAGACTGGTGCTTGAAGGTCTCCTTCCTGTCGAGTTTGAATTTGGGGAGGGAAACGTGACCATCGACCTGCCTAGCTTTGTAGAGCTCTTCCATGGAATAACCTACCATAGTTTATACAGGTAAAGTAGATTGGCGGGAAAGTTTTGAACGATACCCGCGTTTTTTTTCAAAAACTTATTAAAAAAAACTTATCAACGACTTCAAAAACGTAAATACATGCTTGGCCTACACTTCGTGAGTGAACGTTTGCAGCGACGGAGATGGAGACGAGTCTGCAGCGGACGGAGGAGGCGGCGACCTGTAGATAACCACATCGCCAACGATACCAACGGCGGCAGGCTGCGTTGCCACCACCTTGGAGTGCGTCATGCACATACCCTGGCGCTGAGCCCACTTCTCGCACCCCGACACACAGCACTTGGCACCGCCACCGTGTCGACGACACAGTCTTTTCAAATGAGCCTTCTTCTCACAGCCAGCCACGACGCATGGGCGTCCACCGCCGTGCATTTTGCAGCGTCCGTGGCTCTGCGACGCTCGAGTGCAGCCAGGCTCCTGACATCGAGAGCCACCGCCATGGCGGATGCAAAGCCCGCGACTCTGCACACTCTTGGTACAACCTGGACTTGAACAGCGCTTCGATCCGCCGTGGCGCTTGCAACGGTTAAAGGCTCGAGCTTGACTTTTGCACCCTTCCACACAGCATAACTTGCGTTTGTCCGGTGAGAATTTGGGCTCTTGTGCTGTAGCCATTTCGGTAAACGGTTCGCTTAATCCACTTCCTCGCTTGGCTCGACCGATCGGTGCAATCACAGGGGAATAATCTGGTGGTGTGTCATCGCTGATGCTGGAGCTTGGTCGAGCAGGGAAGTTCACCATCGGAAGCGACAGCGACGTTTGCAGCGAGGTGTCTTTGTCGGTGGGGGTCATTAGTAGTTGCGCATTAAACATACTATGACTTGCATCATGAATGGCACTATTGTCATCCCCACTCTGATCTTCCATTGTGACCTGCGGTTGCTGTTGTTGCGTTTGCTCCAATGAGCCGAAACTCGGCGTCAGTGTTGGCGCTGAATCTTGCACGCTGTGTAGAATTGAAATACCTGCAATCACAACAATATACACCAAGTCAACCATATACTTCGCTGTAATTCTTTCAATACTGATCTTACCTTCAGGAAAATAGTCCACGGACGATCTGGTAGCAACCTGAGGCGTTGGTAATGGAGGAATCGGCATTGGTGGCGGGTAATAGTTTCCCGGCTCTGCTGTAAACTCGGAAAACTGCGAAGAGAGCTGAACTGGGAGTTGCGCACCATATTGCTGGTCCGACTGCTGGATTTGGGAAGGCAGTGGGGGCAAACTTGGCGATAGACCTTGATTGACCGTAAACGCAGGATTCTGGGGCAAAAAGAATGACTGGATCTCGGTCGAGTCTTCAAACTGCGGCATACCCAGTGAGCTGAACGACTGAAGCAGCATGCCACCATTCCCATTGTCGCCACTCGCATCAGAAGTCTCAATTTTGAGCGAGGGAATCGGCGGAGGTGAGGCTAACTCGTTATTTGTGTACCGGTTTGATTGCGGAGATGCATCACGCTGCCAGGCTTGTTGAGTTTCTTCGTCTTCATTGTCGTAGTACCAGTATCGTGGCCGAAGCGGTTGATGCAGAAACGTTGAATGGCCTCTAGAGGGTTGGTAGCGTGAGTGATTCCACTCCATCGCAAGCAGCACTGTTCCCAGATTTCAGTTGACGTGACGGAACTAGAACCCGCGTTTACTTGGTCCTCAAAATGATCCCCAACGGGAAGGGGGTGGAGAATTCCGCGACCAACGCTCTGCTCAAACTTGTCGTGAAATCGCTCTCAATTCAAGGCGGTCAAACACCTGTCCCACAAATTGTCGAATGCATTGCATCGCCCCCGAACCAATAAAAAATGTTTGTCTACATCGCCGTAAATCCTGCAAAATATTAGCATGGCGGACGTCGTCAATGCCACAATGTCTCGAGCTCTTTGGAGTGCGTTTAGTAAGGATAACGTGAGTTGCTGGATAAGCATAGATGGAAGTGATCAACAAACATTATCACGCCAGCACATTATTTGGCTCTTTGAAAAAGACGAAGCGCCTATTGCTCAAAGATCAGGTTGTATGCAGCAAGAAGACATCTACAACGTCGACAGACACAAAACAAATAGGATCGCCGCTTAGTGGTGTAATGGTTCTTCATGTTGTTCTCAATACTGTACCAGCAATTCCGTACATCAACACTTTCAACATTTTGAAATTTGTACATCAACATTTTCAAGATTTGTACCCTACTGTCATATTCGTTTTGCAAATTTCATGATATCTATCTTCACAATTTAATTTGTGCGGACGGCGTGGCATCGTTGCTCATGGCTGCCCGATTCCTGCTCGCTCGTGCTGCAGGGCACCACCGTGCAACCCAGACAGCTCTTCAGCTCGTTAACTCACCTGCAGCGCGCTCTGGTATTGCACGCTTAGCCACTTCGTCCTCCGTTGCGCTGCATCCGTCCAAGCGATGTGTGTCATTCACGTCCGCTGGAATCCAAAAAACATGGTTTAGTACTTCCCCGTCGCCCTCATTGCCCCACACCAAGCAGGACCATGAACAGGATAAATCGGGAGATTTAGAGTCTAAAAAGGACGTGTTCAAAATCGAGAAGGACACGTGGGCTGAGCGTCATGCGCCGGAGTGGATGCTGCCGTACATTCAGGTCGCCCGCATCAATCGCCCGGCACCAACCTTTTTGCTGCTGTGGCCTTGCTATTGGAGCATTGCCATGGCCGCTCCCGCCGGTCAGTTGCCGGACTTGAAGCTCTTGGCGCTTTTTGGCACCGGGGCCTTCATTATGCGCAGTGCCGGATGCACCATCAACGACATGTGGGACAAGGACTTTGACAAGCAGGTGGAGCGCACCAACAAGCGACCGTTAGCTGCTGGAAAACTCACGTATCCCCAGGCGTGGGGGTTCCTTGCGGGTCAACTGTCGGCTGGTTTAGCGGTGCTGATGCAGCTTAACTGGTATAGTGTCGCTATGGGTGCGTCCTCGCTCGCACTTGTTGCTACATATCCGACGATGAAGCGATTCACCTACTGGCCACAAGCAGTCTTGGGACTGACGTTTAACTACGGGGCGTTGCTGGGATGGGCCGCAGTTCACGGATCGTGCGACTGGTCGGTGGTGCTGCCGCTGTACGCTGGCGGTGTGGCATGGACGCTGGTGTATGACACACTGTACGCCCACCAGGACAAGAAGGACGACGTCAAGATCGGTGTTCGCTCGACGGCTCTGCTTTTTGGTGACAAGACGAAGCCGGTGCTAAATTTCTTCTCGGCTGCTGCAATCGCGGGCTTTGGCACTGCGGGGTACATGGCTGGTCTGGACTGGCCATTCTTCATGGGACTTAGTGGAGGAGCTGCGCACTTGGCGTGGCAGGTGAATACTGCCAAACTCGACGACCCTATTAACCTTCAGGCACGGTTTGGTTCGAACAAATGGTTCGGAGCGCTCATGTTTGCATCTGTCGTGGCGGGTAACGTCGTGTGAGATGTCAGTGACTGCACTCCACGACAACTTAGATCGGTCCGATATGTCGAGGGCTAAACTTTTGTGGGTAGAGAGGACTGTTTACATATGCACAACTAAACTAGAATATAGCTAGACTGAATTAGCAAAAAATGTCGAGTATGCAACTGGTGGTAGTATTTTAATTCGCTAGAGTGGGGTATCCGCCACCGCAAATTTGGTCAAAATTGACAATATATGTATCTCGTAGATTTTTTGAAATTTTTAAATAGAATAAGAAATACACACAAAGAAACAATAATTGTAAACGTGGGCAATTATTGCACGTAAAGAATTTAGTAAATTGTCAGTGGTTATTTCTGCTTTTTTGATTTAAAAGATTTTCAAAAATACGAAAATGGCAAAAAATCAAACTTCGGATGTTCAAGTGTCTAAAATAAAAATTAGGTAACGAACAACCAATTTTTGAATTAGAGAAATATTTCCGACCTAAAAATTATAATTTTTTTTCGTTATTAAGCAAAAAGCTTTTCTTCTGCTGAGATAATGGAGCTAGCGTGGGAGAACTCGTGTACGTATGCCTATCTACTTGCGTCCCCACTAACGCCCGCGTGCTGCAAACTGCGTCTTCTCCTTCCCAAGTCGCTTGTTCCTCCGTCGGTTTTTCTTGCACGCTCTAATTCACTCTTATTATGTCACTGCATGCACGTGAACCAGACTCAGAAGGCTACGGCCTGAACCAAGGGTGTGTCTCGACTTTTTCAGGCACAATTCACCGCTTCCAGCTGCCAATCTAGACGCTAACGAGCCTGTTGTGTTGCTCTAACAGCTACGGCGATGAGGCAACGGCTCTGACGGGCGAGAACAAGCCTCGCATCCTGCTCATGGGTCTGCGCAGGTAGCATCACGTTGTTTATTCAGCTGCTACTGTACTCTACTAACTTTAAGACATCTATCTCCCTAATAGGAGCGGCAAGTCGAGCATCCAGCGCGTGGTGTTCCACAAGATGTCGCCCCACGAGACGCTCTTCCTCGAGGGTACCAACAGTCTCGACATCAAATACATTGCCAACAATTCGTTCGTGCAGTTCCAGATCTGGGACTTTCCAGGAGACTACGACTTCAAAGGTGACTGAACTCAAGAGAGAAGGTTATATAACTAGCAACTTACAGGGGGTACTGCTTGTTAACGCAGAGGACCTGGTGTACGGTGGCCAGCTCGTGAACGAGGAGATGATCTTCAGCAACTGCGGCTCCATCGTGTTCGTCATTGACGCGCAGGACGAACCGTATGCGGAGGCATTGGCGCGTCTGCATGACACAGTCACACGTGCGCACAGGTACAACCCGGACATCCTGTTCGAAGTGTTCATCCACAAGGTGGACGGCGACCTCTTTCTCTCCGACGACCACAAGATCGGTACGGTTAGAGAACCGTGTGAAGTCCGTTGAAAACCGTTCTTAATAAAGGGATCTCGGTTGTATGGCAGACTGTCAGCGCGAGATTCAGCAGCAGATCATGGACGAGATCAACGACGGAGAGCTCGACATCCACATGAGTTTCTATCTGACCAGCATCTACGACCACTCCATTTTTGAGGCATTCAGCAAGGTCGTGCAGAAGCTGATTCCGCAGTTGCCGACTCTTGAAAACCTGCTCAATATCCTCATCACGGTTGGTATAGCACAGTTATTGTTACTTACCACCATAGATTTCGCTGACAATGTGCATGTTTTATACAGAGCTGCAACATGGAGAAGTCGTTCCTGTTCGACGTCGTGAGCAAGGTCTACATCGCAACGGATAGTAACCCTGTCGACATGCAGTCGTACGAACTGTGCAGCGATATGATCGATGTCGTCATCGACGTCTCCTGTATCTACGGGTAAGTGGTGAGCGGCATGGCACGACGTATCTTTCTACTAATTCTTTGCTACTTCATTTGTTACAGAATGAAAGACGACGGGGAGGGCGACGGGTTAGCGTACGATTCCAAGTCATCGTCGGTGATCAAGCTCAACAACGGAATGGTTCTGTACCTCCGAGAAGTGAACAAGTAAGACGCACCTGATCACCTTGCGAATAGTATTGTTTGCTAACTTGCCGCTGCATTTAATTCTTTGCATCTTAGTTATCTGGCTCTGGTGTGCTTGTTGCGCGCCGAGAACTTTATGAAGCAAGGAATTATCGACTACAACATCGACTGCTTCAAGTCAGCTATTGGCGACGTGTTCAAGGCACCGAAGGCGATCGAATAGATCGATTACCTCTAAAACGCCCCGTGTTGAGTTCCCAGATCACCCCGGGTGGGCAAAAAGAGAGGCACTATCGCTGTTATTCTGCTAAATCGAACTTTGGCTGTTTTCGTTTTTACAGAACTCGAAAGGTTTATTGACTCTATTCCGTTAATTCGGCGTCTTATAAGATTGGGCTCTATCTACTCTACCCGGATAGCGACGTCATTCGACTGTGCACTCGTGGCGTTGCTGAGTGACATCGCCATGGACTGCATCACCACATCGCGGATCCGTGTGTACAGCGCTGGATTCTGCTCCTGCATCGCCTCGTACGTCTCGCGACGCATCTCGAACACCACGCATGGTTCCGTCGCAGTTGCCATCGCTTGCCTCTGTTGGCGACCGAAGTAGTCCACCTCTCCGAAAAGAGATCCCGACAACACATTGACTACATTGGACTCGATCGACGAGCTGCGGTCGAGAGCGACACAACCAGCTGCGAGGAAGTAGAAGCGGTCTGCCGGTTGTCCAAAGCTGTAGAATTCATGCCCTGCAGGCACCTCGAGTTTCTGGAAAAACTGGTCGGCTGTCAAGTCGTCAAGAGCGAAGTACTGCAACAGCTCACTAATGCCATCGTCATGGTGGATACTGCTGCGACCTGGCGTCGCCTTGGCGTTGCCGGCACTGGCCAAAAGTTGGTTCTCACAGAGCTCGAGAGCCGAGTCTGCACTCGAATAGAAGCTCTCCTCGCCAGTGATCTTGTTCTTGACCAGCACGCTCTTGACAGAGGGCAGCGCACCAGCGTACACGACGGTGATGTCGTGGTTGTTGCAGTACTTCTGCAGGATCAGGAACGCGCTGCGTGCGGCCGTCGCGTCCATCGCCGTGACGTTCGTGAAGTCCATGACGACGTACTCGGTCGGGACTGCGTCGGGGTTGGTAGCTGGAGTTCCATCCAGACACTCGATCAGCGGTATCCGGTGTTCAGTGGGAGTCAAAGGCATGTCCGCGTCGCTGAGATAGTCATCTCCACCTTCGACGCCCGGTAGTTTCTTACGCACATAGACTGCCTTCTGGACGATGTCGAGGATCTGCACTGACGAACCGAAGAAGAGGAAGCCGCTCAGTTCGAAGTACGCGATCACATCTTGCTTCTGGTCCAGTACCTTGCGCTCCGAGAGAGTGCGAGCTGCACCGGACGCGCGAGGCTTCCGACTCACTACAGGCAGACGAATGTAGCCCAGCAGGAAGTTGACAATAGCAATGCCCACACCAATGAGCATGCCTTCGTCCAGCGCCACGAGATTCACGGCCACGAACGTCATCCACAGCACCGCATACTCGCGCAACGACATTTTCTTGAAGGTGAGGATGAGCCACTCGATCATGAGGTCGATCGCGATGAAGATCAACGTGGCGGCGAAGAAGAAGCGAGGCACGTAGCTCATGACGGATACAGGGGCCAATACAATGGCGAACTCCGAGATGATCACACAGACACCGACGATGCGCGAGTTGGTCTTGGAACGGTACGTGAAGATGGTCTGCGAGAAGATGTAGGAGCCCGTGTATCCTCCCAACAAGCCGCTCACGACGTTGGACCAGCCGACGGTCTTGAGTTCGTGGTTGAAGTCTAGTTTGCTGCCCATGTCGAGCTCGATAGCGGCGATATCCAAGCAGGACGAGAACGCGACGATGAAGACCATACCGATCCACGTGCCGAACTGCTTGGGTAGTTGTTCCCAGTGAACCTCATTGAAGTCGAAGAGATCGAGCAGCTCCGAGACGGTGGCGGGGTCTTTGGCCGGGTCGATCCAGCCTCCATCACGTGCATCGTCCATGGAAATGCCGCCCACCAGCATGATGAAGAAGAAGACGACGGGCATGATCATGATCGCTGCAGACAGGATGAACGAGTTGTCGTAACGCTGCGAAACGACCAGCAGGAAAGCGCCACCGAGGACACCCGGGACACACAGCAGAACGTCGTGTGCATTGCCGAAGACGCTGATCATGGACTCCATATCGTTCACGACGAGACCCGTACACAACGCGAGACCAGCGTACAAGCAGAAGATGCCGATGAAGGCCAAGTAGCCACCGATCACGGGCATCGGCAGGTACGACGCAAGTGCAGCCAGCTTCAGCTTTCCCATGATCACAAGACAGACACCGAGGGATGCAGTAGCAATACCGATGACGATGATAGAAGTGGTCACTTTGGCCTCCAGCGGCACGTCGTTGCCCAGCGAGTCACAGATCGAGGTGGCCATAGTACTGAGAAAGATGAGACCGGCATCTTGCACCTGTCCGATGGAGAACGGCAGCGAGCTCATGAGCGTGAACATGACCTGATGCACGACACTGGAGAAGATGACGAGCTTGGATAGCGCCGGCATGAAGTCTTCGAAGTCTTTGTGGCTGAAGAGGATAACGGCGTATCCGTACATGGTGGGGATGGTCAGGATGGAGTTGATAATGCCGTACATGACCGCGTTTGTGATGTGAGCTACATTCTGCGAGCCGCCCTTGTGTGGATCCGATTGCATTTTACCATTGGTCTGAAGCAGCACGTGCGACGGAGACTCGAGGTTTGTTTTTCGTGCCTTCTCACGCGTAATGGAGACCACCGATAGCTGGGATAGTTGAGAGATTCTACTGTTGCCATGGTTCAGGGACTCCATCGTTGATAGAATCGGGCGAGCAGCACAAGACTATCGTAGACGATTCTCAGGTGGCGCGAAGGAAAATGGCAAAAACCAGAATGAGCAGTAGCTCAGAGAGACAAGCTCTCGATGACACCGTTGATTTGACGGAGCCGCAATTTTGTTTTTGTTGAACTGAACGATCCGTATGGCTACAGTCTGCCTCGGTTCGTCGTCGATTAATCGATCAAAGCGTGCGCAGAAGCACATGTATAATAGAGGCCATCCGTTTGAAGCCAGGCGATCAAATTGATCTTGTTTAGATGCCAAGCAGCATCATCTGCATGTAGCTGGCTCAGAGCCAGTGACTCGTTGAGAGCTCTAATCTGGATGGAGTCCAGCTGAGTAAATGCGTGCATTGTCCACTGGACAATGTCCAGCCTGGAGGAAACGCATCCCCTGTATCAAAGCGTCATCTTAGATCTTGCTCCGTCTCGTTCGCCAATTAGCTCTCTAACGTGTTGTGCGCATTTCCCACTTGTAAACAGGTGATTCTTCTGAACACGCGAAAATGCTTTAAAATTATTTATAATTTAGATTTATTATTCTAAATCTTAATTTAAAATGTTTTCTTGTGCTTTTATTTTACATGTTAGTAACATATTTAAGTGAATAAAAATAATATATGCATATCTTATAGTAGTAGCCTAATGTAACTAGCCCAATATTGCTTATATAAACTACGTATTTTGAGTACTTGTAGTAATACATTATTTTTATTTTATTTTGGATACACGCTTTCCCAACATCAAGCCGGTTTTGTGCGCTCCGTCGCATATTGTTGTTTGTTTACGCCTGCGCTCATGTTCAGTGCCGCTTGGTCGCAACTGTAAACACATCACGAAACTTAATCTTCACGGTGCATGAAAAGCAAAGCAGAGCACACAAAAAGTAGTCCTACAGCACTGTACACCACACATGAAATTGAAGGAACAGTAATACTGCCTCGTCACTTACAGAGGCGTGCAGGGCTGTACAGTGTGCCGTTTACACTGTACAGTGGACAATACGTGTACAGCAGCTGATTCCATAGATCTCGTCGCGTATATGTCGTAATCTAATATTGCTTACGGTATTTCATACATATAGCAATCACGCCTGCGGCACAGCTCACTACACTTTTCTTTTTATAAAAATGGTAGAGTGAGCTGTTTCGAAGTGGTGCGTTGTTAGTTTTAGAAACACCACTTCAATTATGCTGTATTTCATGTTACTCTGGCCAATGGGATTTTATATTGCTACTGTATTCATAGAAGCAAGAAACATGCATATACTTGTACCAATAAATACTTCGTAAAATACAAGGAAATCGGAATCGGAACATCGTCTATCGATTCAGATAGACGGTCGTGGCACCACCCATCTATTATGCTTCTCGTTGTCTTGGAAGAGAAATTTAAGGGTTACTTCCCTTAGAGTATTGTGTCTTTCCCGTACATGTACCGTAGGGCCAGCGCATCTTCGACGCAAGACCAGAACGCTTCGTCCCCCCACCATCAATGCACCAGAACTGAGGTTCAGCCTGAACAGGTACCCATGCACAAAGATGCTGATTGAATAATTCAGCCACTCTAAAACTGAGCAGATCAATTTGAGTGAAAGTTTTCGGGATTTCTCTGAACTGTGTGATTTTAAACGTAAAAGTTAAGAATGTTCGAAAAAAAAGTTATTTTTAAGCTAAAAGACGGAGTACAGAGTTCCTGATACTGGAATGCTCTTCCGACGAGCAAATCGGGTACTACTATATATATACTGTGTTCGATATGCTTTATTACATTACAGTGCTTATGTACTTGTACCGGCGCCCTGGCTAGGCAAGTGTACATGTAGCAGTTAAAGCTTATTGTTATTTTTAGTGGATTTTTTTTAAAGTATTTGTAAAATACCAAAAAAATCAGTTCCGTATTGCTCTGTTCAATAAGCCACAAAAACATAGAAATGTGTTTAAAGAAGCATCGGTACGAAAACTAGCTAACGTTACAGCTATACCTCTCGATAGTAGTACTATCAGTGATAATCTATCACTCTTAGTAGTGATTCGCTATCTAAAAAGGTTACATGGCAAAGTAGTAGTAGAATAAATAATAAAAGAGTTGTATGTGTACAGTACTATTGTCAGGTGGTTGCAAGTTGGGAAAGAAAATTTTTTTTCGAGAGATTTGATTGGCCGGGATGGCATTCAGACAAAAAACCCCATTAAAATTTTAATGGATTTTTTCGTCTGAATGCCATCCAGCGGCAAGCGACAGAAAGTTCTACAACTGGCAATTCGCGCCAAAACGACTTGAAAAGTGTACCCATCCAGTTTGCAAAACATGAAAAATGCACTTTTTGTGGTTGTACACAAAACACCATTCTTTCACACTTTGCAGTTTGGTTGGTAAAATTTGTAATTTGGCCGGGAAATGGTGTACACACTAAAAAAGTGGGTTAAAACATAAAAAAGAAAAAAACTAGTAGTGCCTTCAAAACAAAATCTCCAGTTCCTACGGATAGTGGCACGTCATCATTGAATTTGCCTTCATGCTTTTCAGATTGTCGGCTCACGTGACAAACCTCGATCGCGTCAGGGGCCGTCAGCTCCCATGGATGTTGACCATCAAGATTGAATGCTCTAGGCGCCGGACGTAATCCAGATCGATGGCTACAGTATTCCGTTGCAGCAGATCTTCTGACTGGTCATCGCAAAAACGCAATCTCGGATTCCGAGGCGCAACCTCGGAATCCGAGATTGCGTTTTTTTCGAGTCGGAGACAGGCATTATCATGCTGCACCTCTATTGCATTGTATCACCACTGGGCCAGTATCACTGTCTGCTGTTGATAGACTATGGATCATCGCCTACCTATCTTGCTTGTAAAGCGATCATCTACCTATTTGGTACTTTTCTCCTATGCGAAGCTTTGTACGTCGTATTAGCTCTAAAAATTAGACCCATTCAAACGTTGTGTGCATCACGCAAATATATGGTCACTACACCAGTTTACCTCTTAGCCAATCAAAACGCTCTAATCTCCGCTCCAGTCAATTAATTAGGCGGTCAGTTGACTTGTTGACATCCACGAAGTTCATCATCGTCTACCATGCCCAAGCCAACAGCTTCAGCTCCTTCCGAGGCACCGGCCGACGCCAACAATGAAGCGGCCGAGGGTTTCAGCGGATCCAAATCTTTTGCGGAGCTCGGTGTCGACTCGGCCATCTGCGAGGCCATCGAGGCTGTTGGCTGGTCGGCGCCCAGTAAGATCCAGCAGCAGGCCATTCCGCATGGCCTCGCAGGCAAAGACATCATTGGTCTGGCCGAGACCGGCTCAGGAAAGACTGGCGCCTTTGTGATCCCGATCCTACAGAGTCTACTGCAGAACCCACAGCGTCTGTACGCGCTGGTATTGGCCCCCACACGAGAATTGGCTTATCAGATCGGCGAACAGTTCGAGGCGCTAGGTGCGTCCATTGGCCTTAAATGCGCCTGCGTCGTGGGTGGAATCGACATGATGCAGCAGCAAGTGGCACTGGCCCGCAAACCTCACGTGGTTATCGCCACGCCCGGCCGACTGGTGGACCACTTGGAGAACACGAAGGGCTTCAGTCTCCGCACCATGAAGTTCCTCGTCCTGGACGAAGCTGATAGGATGCTCAGTATGGACTTTGAAGAAGAGATCAACCAGATCGTGCAGCTCATGCCGGCCGACCGCAACACTTATCTCTTCAGTGCCACCATGACGTCCAAAGTGCGCAAACTGCAGCGCGCGTCGCTCAAGGACCCGGTCAAGGTGGAAATCACCCACAAGTTCGCCACGCCCGAGACTCTAAAGCAGCACTACCTGTTCATTCCGGCCAAATTCAAGGACTGCTACTTGGCCTATGTATTGAACGAGGTGGCCGGCCAGTCCGTGCTGATCTTTGCCAGTACGTGCAACGGAACGCAGAAGGTGACGCTCATGCTGCGGAATTTGGGCTTCCAGGCCATCTGTCTGCATGGCCAAATGCCCCAGCCCAGTCGTCTTGGAGCTCTGAACAAGTTCAAGGCAAAGGCCAGGAATGTGCTCGTGTGTACCGACGTGGCCTCGCGTGGCCTGGATATCCCGAGTGTCGACGTGGTCATTAACTACGATATCCCGACACACGGCAAGGACTACATTCACCGTGTTGGCCGAACGGCCCGTGCTGGCCGAGCTGGTGTGGCTATTTCATTTGTGACACAATACGATGTGGAGCTGTACCAGCGTATTGAACACCTGCTAGGCACAAAACTAGATGCATACCCGTGCGAAGAGGAGACGGTTCTAGTCATGTCTGAGCGTGTGAACGAGGCGCAACGTATAGCCACCATCGAGATGAAGGAGGCAGCAGCGAACGGAACAGGTACCAAGCGTGGACGCTACGCTCGTGATGATGACGAGGGCGACGATGAGGAAGGAGGCGAGAAACGATACAAATCCGCCAGCCGAGTGCAGAAGGGAGGCCGAGGTGGTCGCGGCCGTGGCCGTGGCCGAGGCAAGCGGAATTAGAAGCAGAAGAAAGAAAATGTTTAGATATTTGCTCTCATATTCTCGGCGGCGCGAGTGCGTCGTCCGTGTTCAAAGGTGTTGATCTCCTATATTGACTTTCATCGGATCTCGCTGCCAACACTCAAGGGCAGCATCAAGTCCGTTCCGAGGCGACTACCGCGCTGGGCTTTTGTGCTTGGGAAGGCGTTCCAGAAGCGCAGAGTTTCGTCTCCTGCTCCAGTGACGATCGTCTGGCCGTCCGGTGACATGGCCAGATACAGCACGCGGAACGTGTGACCTGTGAGTGTGGCCAGCTTGGTCATGGTCGGATACTTCCACACGATGATCTGGTTCAGCGAGTAACCGTGCGTACTCACAACTTCATTGGCATTCTTCGACCACATGAGGTTGCACACCTGCGAGCCTGTGTCTACGAAGGGCAGAGCTGTCAACGTCTGCGTGTTCCAGAAGCGGATGCACCGGTCAGCTGTGCCGCCGCCAGAAGCCAAGAGGCCGTGCTGGTGTGGCGACCACGCGATCGCCTTCACTGCGGCCGAGTGCTCGTTGAAGCGCGCTACTGGCATCGTGGCATCCCCGCGTAGACTGGAAGACATGGACTGCACGTTCCAAATGAGCAGCTTGTTGTCATTGCCTCCAGAAGCCAATTGCCGACCGTCAAAAGACCATTTCAAACCGCAAACTTCTTGCTTGTGGCCGGCCAGTTTGTTCTGAAATGGCTCCTGCGCTCGCAGGTCGTGCATGAGAATCGTGCGATCTCGACTACCCGATGCCAACGACTGACCGTTCCAGCCTAATGTCCCCACGCGAGCTAAATGTCCACTGCGCAAGTAAAGATAATCAGTATACGAGCGGGGATACTGTGTCAAAGGAGCAGTATTTCGTACGTCATGGTGCGAATCTTTTTACCCGCGCTGACGTCCCAGATCTGCACTTCACCGCTATTCGTCCCCACTGATAAGTGTGTACCCTGCAAAGATCAACGAAGAGAACGATAAGAACGACGAACTCGTGGTTGAAAGAGCTATACGACGGCAGACGTACCCTTTGACTCCAGCAGACCGACGTGACCGAGTCGTTGGGTCCAAGGTTGCAGAGCATTGTCACCTTACTAGTGCAAGCACTCCAGAGATAGACACACGAGCTGAGACCCACAGCTACGATGTTCGTAGCGGACCAGTCTACGAGATTGAGATAGAAATCATCCTGCAACGACGGCGCATCCAACACCTTGAAAGGTGTGCGTGCGATCCGTCGGCGGCCATGCTCTCCGTCCTGCAGACCGGTGCCAAGATATCGATGCGTAGGATCTGTCAGCCCCGAGAGAGGAATGAAGGGTTTCACGTCTCCATACAGCGATTGTCGCGGGGCTTTGAAGCGTAAGATGTTGCTGGAACTGCCGCTGGGTCGTATGCATGCTGTGGTGCCATTGTATGTTCGTACACACGAAGACGATAGTGGGTCATATAGTGCACTCACACTATCAAAACTGGACGCACTCGAAGCAGCCGTGGATTGACTACCGCCGAAATTCGTACGTGTGGGTGAGTGCAGTCCCAGCAGCTCTCGCTTCAGCATCATCGAGTACGGCGAGGACGTTCCAACCTGGTTTTTTGAATTGCTATCCATAGTACCAACGGCTCCTGCAAGCGTCGAAGTTTGCATTGAGCCACCCTGGGGTCTACTGGGTCCATTGTCACGGTTCTGGTTAGCGCATTGGCGTGGTGAATCTGTCGTAAGCCCGAATCCAGTGTCGAGCTTCGTACTAAGCCGCGACGGAATAAAGCGATCACTGTAAATGTTCTTTGATCTGTTTTTGACAAACATAAAGAAGAAGGCTTAGTTATCAGTATATGTCCAGCAGATAGCGTGATATGCCTTACCGTTTGATAGTCCGATGAGGAAGCGTCTTGCCATTTTCATCCGAGAACCCAGACAAGCGCGACTCGTACTGGTGGTGAAGTGACTGAGCAGTCGTTGGCATAGTACTGACCTGACTGCTTCCACTTAGCCGCCTCTTCCTGCTTGAAATGCAGCCGGAGTTGACACGGAGGCTCGCTAGAGGATCCAAACCCTTTGCGCTGGCTATGGACGGGCTGATCACGAAGTGTGAGGCATTTTTCTCGACACAGACCATGCCGAAAATATCGCGTTGGGATTGGGCTTGGCCGGACAATTTGGATCTGGAGAATGGGCCAAAGCTGTAAATGCTCACGCAGTCGAGGTAGGAGCCACACAACGGCTCCACACCGGTCAATCGTCCTCTCAACTGCTCTGAAAACCAAAGAAACCAAAAAAGAGCAAGTGGGGGCACAGTTGGGATCCCGTGCGCGGCCACTTTGGAGTCTGCTGTCGATCGATAGCTGTGTCCTCGTGAAGTCAATAGCCGCTGAAGGCGATGGCCTGAAAATAAAAGGCGTGAAACAACCATGAAACCGAAGTTTGTCTGCCTTTTCATCTCTTGCCAGATCGAAGACGAGGAGGTACGAATCGCGACATGCCGCCCCCCATCACTCTAAGCCTTCGCGGCGCCCCCTATGTAGCACCTAGCGTGTCTTAAGCTGTCTATCAGACATATTGATATCTTTGAGACCAGAAAACACGAGCTGAACAGAGAGCGATTTGGGCGTAACTATTATGAAGATAAGAGAAGAACGAGCTTCTTTGATAGCGTCAATTCGTAGTCTCTCTCTTGATCGACCTAAGCAGACCGTATCGACGACGCGTCGTTTCGCTATAAAGTATCGAGGGGTATATTAATTTTCAAAGATTTAGTGAAATCAACTTCACGCAACACCGTCACTATGCTAATTCTCCTATCCATCTAAGACCATGCCATTCTCTCCTAGCTGTAGCTGCAACTGCTTGCGGAACGACGTGATGGCTTGCTGGTCGACCTCCTTGTTTATCTCCTCTCCAGTCTGTCCGCGTCCGCACTTGTCCGCGTACAGCAGACACGCCACGCCACAGTCGAACCCGCTGACCTGCTGTTTGTTCGTGATAGCGCTTACTGTGCGCTCCAGCCAGCATTTGTGCTGCGGATAGCACACATCCAGCCACTCGATCACCGCTCGGGGCACCGATCGGTACGAGATGCCGGATCTCGACCCCAATCTCCCCATGGGTTCAAACAACTGCAACTTCGGTGTGGGGCTCAACTGCACTCGGAACAAGTTCCAGTGAATGTGGTCGACGTTCACAATGAACACCAAGGGAGTATTGTTATCGTAGTCCACGATGCGTCCGAGAACGTCTTTTACTTGGTAGTCTCTCTTGGTTCTACGACTGCGACATCTACGTCGCCATGGAGACCCCGTAACTTTCATAGCCGTTTCTAAATGGAAGTGGTAGAAGGCTGTGGGTAGGAAATGCACCGCTGGGTACTCGTTGGCGAACTTCCAAAGCATTAGGTCGATAAACGTGCCCGTGATCCAATTGGATTCGTTTACAAGATCTTCAGGCCCGAAAGCGGACTGCAGCAGTCGGAAACGCCGTCTTTTAGCCTCCTCGGAGTCCTCTTCACCACTCGAAAGTCGTCGTTTCTTGACGCTCATTGCACTGCGAGGAGTACGTAAAGGGGTGCGTTCTCGACGACCAGAAGGACATTGCCGTTGCATTGCGAGCTCCACGGCATCCGATTTTGGGTCGTGCAGCAGTGGGGAAGTCACATGTTGCAGAGCAATCGACATAGTTGCAGGTGGTGATGACGGTGCCATTGCAGACCATTTAGCGGGGCTGGACACGAGTCGGGAGCGGAGCTGCATGCTTGATGCGACGCGGCGGATAGTGGAGAAATTGCGATACTTTTCCGAGGATTGGAACATTATGTGGCACACACCCAGTAACATTTTGAGTGACTGACCAATCAGATTGCCCCGCCATCCGGGTGCGTAAACGGCAGAGATTGCCTGGTCCAGTGGGTCGCCTTTCATTCCTCCAACGTCGCTGAGTCTCACGTCTTGCTACGCCCGGGGATACCTCGTCGCGGCGTGATCATTTGAACCTCGTTCAACGACCACCTCATAGCCTGACGTCTTGCGTACATTCCATATTCCTGTTTTCATTCCGACGGTGCTGCAGTTCCGTTCCCAGACGTTAAACACCGAAAGATGTCCAACGCCACGTACGAACCGGAATCGGCTGTCGAGGCCTCACAGATCCACGCTCTCAAACAGCGCGTGCGTCACCGCAGCATAGGCGACGGCAAGTCCACATACTTTGGCAAGTACGTGTCGCAAGAGGGCTCCGAAAAACTGCGCACGTACGAGTATCACGGCGCTGATAACTCGCTGGTGTACAAACACGTGCTGACCCCCATGAATAACTTCTTGGTGGAACTTTTGCCACTCTGGTTGGCGCCCAATCTCATCACTCTTATCGGACTCATACTCGTGGGCGGTTCGCACACTCTGTTCGTGTTCTTGTGCCCGTTTCTGGAGGGCGACGCTCCCTGGTGGGCCATGGCGGTCGCGGCCGTCGCGCTCTTCGGGTACCAGACGCTCGACAATTTGGACGGCAAACAGGCGCGCCGCACCAAATCATCGTCGCCTCTAGGTCTGCTATTCGACCACGGATGCGATGCTCTGAACGTGTCGGTAGGCACTATGACTATGGCCAGTATTCTGCAGATGGGAACGACGTGGAGGACGCTGGGATTCGTGTTGAGTGGCCACTTTGTCTTCATCTTTGCCACGTGGGAAGAGTAAGTGGATAGTATTTATTTATTTGTTTTCTTTTATTTTTTAATGGTAATGTTGGCTGTTAAAGGTACTACTCTGGATCGTTGGAGCTTCCGCTCATTAACGGGCCGACGGAAGGAATTCTCATTGGAATCGCGTTGAAGTTGTTCACTGCGGTGGTTGGGGTCGATTTCTGGAACCAGGAAATGATTGAAGGCGTGCAGAACAACTCGCTCTTTGTCATCGTGACGATGATCAGCTCGTGTTTCACTCTTCTGGTCAAGTATGTGGCAGCTCGGCTCTCGCTTTCCTGGTGTGTGCTTTAACTAATCTATTGTATTGGTAGTGTGAGGAATGCGCTGCATGCCGTGCGTTTGAACCAGGACTCGGTTCTTGTGGCTTTCACGCGTCTGTTGCCGTTCGTCATCCTCAACACGCTCGCTGGACTTTGGGCGTTGTACTCGCCCTCGGACATTTTTTCGACGCACCCGCGGATGTTCCTGTGGATGCTCGGACTGCTGAACAGCAAGCTAGTGGTGCGTTTCATGACTGATGAGTATGTTTTTATCGGATATTGTAGCGTTGTGCTAATCGTTGTCCGTTGCTTTGTGCCGATAGCTGCACTTGATGCTGGCTCACTTGTGTGGGGAGGAGTATCATCCGTTTCGCAAAACGCTTGTGCCGATCTTTTATGTCGCTGGACACTGCGCCTTCTGCATGCTCGAAGGCATCTACGACGCCATCAACGAAGAACTTATTGTGCGTGAGTTCTTCTTCCTCTCCCTTGCTGCGTACGTGCACATCGTCATCACCGTCGTGTGGGAGGTCAAGAACGTACTGGGCGTCTCGGTATTTACGATCCCTCACAGTTTGAAGCCCAAGTCCAAGACCAGCAGCAAGCCAGCAGCAAAGTCATCGTAATTTGCTGTTGACCACCGCTTGTGTTCCCTATACGTTCAATAAAGCTAAGAGGAGCAAGTTTGGAGGATTCAAATTCATTCTTGAAAATGGATTTTGTTTTTTTTCCTCTTACCAAGATAGTTTTCATATACAATTGGCACGACCGAGGATGTCCAGCTTAACTATATTTGCCTCCCGGTGTCATTCTGTTATGGTAGAAATCCCAGTAGCCCTGGTAGCGAGGATCTTTGATGTCTTGGGGTTTTTTGCCTGTAAAAATCCACCAGTTGTATTTTGCCAGTCTCTTTATCTTGTTGCCCAACTTCTTAGCCAAAGCCGGAATCGAAAATGCTCTCTCCTCGTTATCTTCATCAGATGTGCTTGTCTCTCTCAGAAAATGATTCACAGGAGCGTCCTTCGTGGTAGCGGTGAGCGAACGATCCCATTGTGGTGCTACGAGAAGGGTGGTCTTAGTCTTAGAGGTCGAAACAGCTTCGATACCAGCGGCGAAGAGGATGACCACCGCCAACAGTATAGCGTAGTATTTACGCATGTGTCTTGGTTGTAAGAGATCGAAACGTAGAGTGAACAGATCAAGACCTGATCGCATGCCTCGCTGTGTTCGAACCATAGGGGAGTGGAACAAATCTCAGTTGCAATTGGTCTATTATTGAAGTAGTCCAGGATGGAGAATGTGTCTTCATCAGCGGCAACGTCAAGGTGTCAATAGATAAATCCTCCTTTGCTTTTTCTTGCAAGCGCAAGGTTGCTTAGCACCTCGACGAAACTGCGGCAGGACTTACGACTTAAGACAGCCCTTTGCTCTCAATCCACGAATGAAATGACTTTAGTTAAGAGATGGTAGATGCATTACCATGATTCACATAGGCTTGTGAAAAGCAATCAATGGCAACCCCATAAACTGTACTTCTCTGCGTTGGCCAGTCTTACAAACCCAAGATATTACCGTATGGTCTTAGTAATAGGCGACGTTTGGTCCTAAGCGACATTCTGTTTTGACCAATAGTGTTCCAGAAAAAAAAACAGTTGGTTACAGATTACAGTGTGCTATTTTTAGGCTTTGAATACTCTAATTCCTACGTTGCGGGTCATTTGGTAATATACGGAAGAAAACCGGTGGCCCTCCGATAACCATAGGGAGAATCACTGTGAACTGGTCGCGCTGTAACATCACGATGGTCCACCCTACTACAGACCTCCTTAAAAAAGGCATATAGCGGAATGTGTTATATTAGCTTAATACAGGCACCATAGAAATCTTAATACCGGCACATCGGCGGTTTAAAGCTACCCTGCTACTTTCGCTCGCTTAGTTTGCTGAGTTGGTCGAACTGTTTAGCCTGGAATATACCCTCCAATGCCAATGACGTCAATGCAGTGCGACGGTCGTTCAGCTCCCACTTCAGTACCGAAAAGTCGGATTCGACTGACGCCGTGTTAGCAAATACAGTTGCCAAACCACAGCAGAATTGACGAAGGTGCGAATATGTTTTAGGCTTCACTGCCTCTTCAAGTATATCCCAGCCATCATTGAAGCTCGTGTTGTAATCCTCTTTGTCCAACGCTGATCTTACTGAATCATCAATCTTATTTGCAAGGAATAATTCTCGATGCTCGCGTTCTGCTGCTTCGATTTGGGTAAGCGACCAAAACTTCATCAGCTGAGCACGGCGGGGCTCCAAAATGTTCTCACCAAAATCCCGTGGGTTCACCAAAACCAGTTCTGATGGCATTACTGGCGGTGCAACTTTTTGCGCCGGTTTGTTGTTACTATCTCTCTCTGCTTGTACAAGTTCCATTCCTTCAATAACGTAAACCGCAAACTTGCCTAGTTGCTGAAGAGTTGATTGTTTCTCGGGTAGTGTTAGAGAGTCCAGGTAGTTTCTCACGAAACTTCCCTGATCTTTTACAAAGTTGAGTAAATCTTGCTGCTTTAGCCAAAACTTATCTGTAACTGTGTCATTTATCCCATGTGGGATCATGGAATCAATCCGTGGTTGAATGGACAATAGGCTCCGCAGACCCGCCACCTAATCTTTTTATCTCTTTCATTTGCTGTGACAGAATCATATCTTTGGCTTGAATTCTCGTAAAAGTCACATTAACCACAGAGGTGATGCCGTAGACAACAGCAGCATTAACCCACCAAGATGAAGATGGTGAAGCGGACTGATGACCTTCAAATGAGTATTAAGCTGGGCGTGATTCCGTAAGATCCATTCCAGTGCGTTGCCCATATAAAGCCATCTATTGGTTAGCTTCTTTGCAGCAGTGCCCATGTCTGCAATCAATAATTTCTGTCTGCGGAGATGGACGATAAGGTCTTTCGTATTTTTAACGAAGTTTCCGTCGTCTACAATTGCAAATGCTGCTTTCATGACGAGATCCATTTGATGCGCTGCACACCAGACGCGTAAAATTGGATGTGTAGCCTCGTTTTCCAGAAGAGTGACTACACCTGCATGGCGACCGGTCATGGTGTTCTCACCGTCGGAGGCAACTCCAATCATCTTGTCTCTCCATTGGCCATATAGAACATCAAGAGTTGTTGAAATCAGATTGAATTGCACGATTGCAGTGTGGCGCTCAAAGACAGGAATAGCAAGTAAGTGGATGTTAACTAGAACACCGTCAACAGCAAGCCTGAGACGTTGGTCCATGAACGAACGCTCGTAGTGTGTAGATATATCACTTGCAAAAGCAAATACCCACATGTATGAATTGGCCATGAGCTCACCGATCCGCTGAAAAGAAATAGCAACGAGATACCTAGCGTAGGTACTCGCCAGCGTATCCGTCATCCCGTACAGTTTATTATTTCCCGTTGCTTGATAGTGCTGCTGGATAACGGTAGCAGCTTGACGAAATGATAGCCTAGCACTCATGTGCTGAATAGCGAGATTAAATCGGAAGGGCGTTTTAATTTGTAGCCTGTAAACTCCTGCATCAGCGTCTCCAAATGCTCGAAGTGCGACAGGTTCTGAAGCGCCTTCATCTTCGTCATTGAAATAGATTTTTCCTATCAAATCAGTCACTATATGCTCCGGAATGTCAAAGCTCAGTGTAGAAGACTCGACTTCGTAGTGGGAGGATAACTGATTGTTGTGTGAAATTTGACCAGAGAAAAATGCCGATTTCTCGTCTCTGCTCAGGGCCTGATACTGCGCCCACTTAATACCATGAGCTGTTGTGTTATGATCTGTGTAGTCTTGAGGTCGATATGGGGGCTTGTAAAACTTTTGGTTTTGGATTCGTCGTCTCTTGCCGTTCTTCGATTCCTCTCTCCCAAAATATTTGCAAAACTGACAGCGCACGGAGCACACTACACCGCTAGCATCCTTCGCCATGACTTTTGGTCCATACTGGAGCTCATGAGCAGGCTGGAAGGGTGTCTTACGCGACGGAGGCTTACTGGAGACGCTAGGCTTTAGCCTCTGCATTGTTTCGTCAGCAGTTTTCCTATACTGAAAGGTCGGTAAAATGCGGCACTTCCAAAAGGTCTATTTAAGGCGCATTGCCGCTATTTATAGCGAAATGCCGCTTTTAAGGAGGTCTGCCCTACTATCAAGGGGATCAAGAAGAAGCGAAAGCAGTACAAGCGCGTATGTGACCCACACAAAACGGGGTTGTAGAACGTTCTTCGGCCGTTGGATGGGAAAAAAACATTAAATTTTTAATGTTTTTTTTCGTCTGAATGCCATCCCGGCCAATCAGCATGCGTACCGACGAGATTTTGGCACTATGTTTTATAACATAGTTCCTTACTGAGCGTCAGTATCACTAGTACTGATCTACTGATTCAATTACCCGCCATTGTAATTACACACTTCTTGGAAGCTTTTTACCCCAAAACGTAAATCTTACCGTATCCAGCTATTGTCAAATTAGCTGACCCGTATTGCCATTTTTGCTTCAATCAGGCCAATGGACGCACAAGCTGGATGGCGTCGACATGGCTTATCGAACGGCGTCTTGCGACGATCAGGAGCAACACCAGCTACTTGAACTGCGCCCAACTCGTCGAGGACCTCCCCAGCTACAACGCGTGTACGAGCCACGTCAGTTAGAACTCAGCAACCTAAAGTATTCGCTTTGAATTTCTAATCCGATTACAAATCCGACCATTTAAAGCAATATAACTAAGACTATGGATATAAATATCCAGAGAACTTGTCTTAGTACATGTTTGTGGTAGCTAAGACTGTACCGGTAAGTGAACCCCTGTACCGGTATTCGAAGCTCGGTTTTCGAGGGGCTTCAGGTTTATATGCTCCGGGCTTATAATTCCGCTTTTACAGCGGTACAGTGAAGCGTGAATTAATTTGCTGTTCAGACCGAGCGGATAGCCGCATGTACCCCATTTTACGTCAGCTCCACTAAGGTACAAAGATAGTGAATTCGGTTGTACATTTCAACTGCCAGCGGCGACATGTATTATGAAAACCGCTTCGAATGTCTAATCCGATTACAAATCCTACCATTTAGAGGCTTAATTAGATATGAAGTTAGGTTTTATTTATAAATCAGACCAGGTCACAAGTATTTAGAGACATTTCCGAGGCGATTTATGCATTGGTGTGTTTGGCTGATTTGATTTACAAATCCATCTGAACGGCCGATTTATCTCTAAATCGGTCTGAATGTTCGATGCCTCCTCGGCATTCCAAGACCAGGTCATCGCAAAAATGACGACGTGCATAAAACAGAGACCCCTCGTGCATGCATTTCCATAGAGATTGATGCAGTTGCGGAGGCAAACCGGTCAATTACTGTTGTGAAATTATTTCGGATGGCTCCTTGGTAGCAGGATATCGATGCATCCAAGCTGTGCTTGCCCGCAGGAGACAATTGAGCGCTTGGTTAGCTTCAGCTTATCCATCGAGGGCATTAATGAATTAGTTTACACAATTCAATTATTCGACATTTACCACAATTATATGTCCTTTTTAGTCCCTCTGTTTTAGATTTATGCGCTGTTTTACGCGTGCAAATCGTCGGAGAATCGAAGCAGTTTTCACAATACACTGTGCCAGTCGTCAACTTCAAGGTAAGATTATCACAAGGATTCATCTTGGCGCTTTGTAGGAAAATGGACGACGTTGCCGCAAATTGCGGCCCGCAATATTGTGGAAACGTCTGAAGTACTTCTTCAGATTTCATACTCGCTTTTCTATCATGAGTGGTGCTAATGTTGATGCGTATGTCAGGGCCTTCAACACTAGAACCTGCATTGGTACACCAGTAAGGGGGTACAGTATTGCTCTTTGAGTTTACAAAACTAAGCAGTATTCGGATCGGTCATTACTAATCACAATCGTGCCGAGATCACAGCTGTTGAAGCTCCTCATTCCAGGAGGAAATTTAAGATGGTGCTCGGCATTATTAAAGGGAGTGGGGTGGATATGGCATCTTACGTGGTACCTTACTTTGAACGACAGTATTTATTAGTTCATGAGTACTACTGTAGTACAGTGCAGTCAGTGTACAAATGAACCGGTCTACGATGAGCCCGTATATCATGATATCCTGTCGTACTTGATAGGATGTCATTCCACCGGACTCGTGTTCCATTTTTTGTAACGTCCCTCGATAATACAGTCTATTGCGATGATTGAAAATACCAGTCAAATGTGGACAAAACCAAAGTTTTTTTACCTACCGGTAGCAGAAATCCGTGGAACGTATCGACATGAAATCATGTGCTCGTCCATTCTAAGCCGGTTTTATCGGAAATCAGCTTCTGAAAGGGTCACCGTAGAGACTTTGGAAAGTCTGGTGTATCGTCAGATATTTCCATGAATTTCTAGAATAGAAATATTTCGTTCGAATCCCACTAAATATCAGAACTGTGCACCACAACAACCGCCATAACATGATCAACTTGCCATACTTGATCAAAAGTTATTCCGCCGGCTGTATTAGCTAAGAGAAGTTAATCTGTGCTTACTGACATGGCGGGTGTGGGGATGGGGGGCGCTTGCACGGGAAGCCTTCAAAAAACATGTGAGGATTAGTAGCCAGAAGTGGTAACATCGACCTATGCACATCTACGTCACGGTCAGTATCAGACATCAGACGGCTCCGAAACAGATACAGTAACGAAAAAGAACAGATTCTTATAAAACGTGCAGTATTTACTTTCAAATAATGTTTTAGCATATTTTCGCACACAATCGCAGATTGAATATTGCATTGCAGTTGTAAGCAAACTTGACTATCAAATCTCCAACGATAGAAGGGGTTGTTTGTGAATATGACTTTCACATGATTTTCAATACAAACTCTTATATAAACACCTTTATCGTACAGGACAACTTCGATCATTTTAAATATCGCTAATTTTGCTGCGTACATAAACAAACACGGCGTAAAAATAAAATGTGATTTAAGAAACGGGAACGTTGCAGTCCATGTTTTCTGAAGAGAGGGGTGAAAAAACATGTACACACAAATATTCCAAGAGCGCACTAAACCACAATGACACTATACGTAGTGGCGTTTGATAGTCATGGGCAACCAGTCATGGGCAGCCAGAAGACTTGCCCACATGGCCTTGCTTGAACCTGTCATGTTTTGCGCTGGATCGGTGTTCTAAAGGCTTTAAGTGCCTACACTGTACCTATGTACAAACAACACTTGCTAGCTACGATTTACTAGTACAGAACATCTACCCCACGTGATTTGCAGCATTCATGGCTCAGTGACTGAGCCTCAGTCATGACACCTGTCCCATAAGTCAAGTTTGGAACCATGATTCCACCATATGAATATTTCGAAGTACTTTTTTTAGTTAGAACGTTAACCTAACCGTTTTTTTAAAACGTGAATTGCAGCAACCCTTTCAGAAACCATACAACACATCTTCCAAGGGTATCATAAACTTCATGGATTGAGTGGTGAATGTACCTACTGTAGAGACGGCGGAGATTCACAGTCCACGATCAGTCGGAAATTTGCTGCTAGCTTTTCAAAGCCCAAAAATCAACCAAGCACAAAACGCTTATGCGCCTCTACTACATCGCGTTTCTTGTAGCTGCTACTTTCCTCGCCACTACCACCTCCGGCCAGGCAAAAAACAAGGAGATCGACTCACTTCGTGCGTCTGCCGTCTCGGAGTCGGACATCCCCATCAAGCGTTTTCTGCGCAAGAGGGAGACTACGCATAATGACGATGACGAGAGAGCTTTCAACGTCAAGGTGCCCGTGAAAGTGAAGAAGTTTGGCGGCAAGTTGAAGAGACTGTCAGTTTACAATGTGTTTCTTGTGTTGGCACGGAAGGATCCCCAATGGGTCAAGGAGCACTTTCCTCAGTACTTCGAAGGCTTTCGGAAATTCTATAACAACAGAATGACTGATTGGGGTAAGTATGGGTAGGCATTGCTGGTGGGCGTTTGTTTCTTCTTGTGAGTCATGTAATGTAATGAGATACAATAGTTTCTTACAGCTTCGAGTTATTGCCGATAATTCGATAACTTTTGTAGTTTCATAGCTGCTGCCGATGGCCCCGAGTTTTAGACGACTAAACATTGTTGTGTGAGCACTCTAAAGCTCGGTTGTGCAATCGTGTGCACCGGCACCTCTCGTCCATAGTTTAAGTTTGCTTATTGTTGCTGCCAAAACAAGGATAGCCTGGTGCGTCAGCACTTACTGTGGTGGTATTCCATGCCTGTTGGAGATGAAGTTACTGCTGATCAGGAAGAAGATCACGTAAGGCGTGTTACACCCAAAGAATATTTTACCCGTAGATGTATTTGTTATCGAATACCGGTAGGTAATACTACTTGTAGTACCTCGCATGAAGGTGAGGTATCCATCTATTAGTCCAAAATAGATTTTACAAAGTATAGTATTTGCACTTAACCCGGACCCATCCTCCAATGCATTGGCGAAAGATTGATCCCCAAAAATGGTTGATATGATAAATCACAAAAATTCATGTTGCTTCGCCCGTCTAGAGGGGCGAATCCACCTCGCCTTATCCTCTTCCATTTTACCATGCTTATTGTCAACAAATTCCTCATCATTATGTGCTTTTAATGAGACCGATCCCATAATAGTATTCGTTCTCCTGCCCCGCTCGTCGAAAGCGCAAGCTCTACACACCTCATGGCCCACCAAACCGATCGTCTGTGCGTATTTCATTTTTGGTGAAGTAGTTGTCGGGTTTTTCTTTACAAAACAGTGAATTGGTGCTAAAGCCTATTATTAGTAGTTTTTTTTTAAACTACTACTAGAATGGTGCTGAAACCTATTAGTAGAATTTTTAAATATTACTAGTAACTATTAAAATAGTTAATGAAAATTCTGGGATTTTATACCGGCTTTGTAAAACTATTTAAAATAATTCCGAATATGTTCATTATCATTTTTGGCATGGAACTTTAAACAAGCCCAAGTTTGTGATGGACGAGGTGCTGCGCCGCCACTTCGCACTGGTAGACGCAAGCTTCTGCTTCGTGGCGAAGCGCCGCGCAACACCCACCGTACGCAGCGTGCTACGCGTGGCCAACAGCTTCGGTATCTCGCAGCTCACGCGCCAGAGTCTTTTGGAATTAGCCACCATCGCCCCAGACCTCCTAGTCTTAGAGCGTCCTACAGCAAGCACCCAGTCTCGATCAGGTATATTATCAACAAGTAATATGAAATATTGTTATAGCTTGAAAAAATCGACTAATATGCGCTTGCCATTTACTTGCAGATGATGTTTTCAGTCCGACGCCAGAAAACGAAGAGGATCTTGAAGTCGTGACATTCCCTAGGGCACCGCAAACCAGTCAACGAGCAAGCACCAAGAGAAAAGGTTTATTCGACGCGGCTTTGAAAGCAAAAAATAACGAGGTGGGAAGCCAAAAGCAAGCCAAGCAGCTTCAGGTCTCTACTGGCAACAGTGATAGTGAAAAATCCTCTACTACTCCCACAAAACCCACAAATATCGTTCCGAACGAGCAGGCTCCATTTCAAAATGATTGGGGGTCGTCAGTGCTGACGATGCTACAGCAAATGGATATATACAAGAACCAGATAGTTCACGTGGAGCGCCGCAGCGCACGACCAGCACAGTATCGAGATCTGGAGCCGTTGCAGTTGTCCAAACAAGTATGTGAAGCGCTGGAGAAGTGTTACAGCATTAAGCAGCTGTATTCACACCAGTTCGAGGCGATCGAAGCGATTCGTTGCGGAGAGAACGCTGTGTTGTCTACTGCTACAGCAAGCGGGAAGTCACTCACGTACAATGTTCCCATGCTGGATATGCTGCTGGAAGACCCCAGTTCTAGGTTCATGTACTTGTTCCCAACGAAAGCGCTGGCTCAAGATCAACTGAAGTCGCTCAGGCGGTTTTTGGAGGCTGCAGATCTCCCTCTTCACGTCGGATCGACCTTTGTCAGTGTTGTTCTTTAGTTATGAGCTTTTTGGACTACTCTAGAGCTTCTAACATTTTTTTCTACTGATATGCAGGATGGAGACACGCCTATGAAAAGCCGCTCGATGGTCATCCGCGAGACGCGGATATTCCTCACCAATCCTGACATGCTTCACTTGACAATCCTTCCGCAACATCGCCAATGGAAGCAGGTGCTTTCAAACCTCAGGTATGTGTCGCTTGCGATACTTGACTTAATTTTTCTAATCACAAGTTGTATTCTCGTAGATTTCTAGTTGTTGACGAAGCACACATGTATCGCGGTGTATTTGGGTCACACGTTTCTTGCGTCTTCCGCCGGCTTTTTCGTTTGTGCGCACTTTATGGTTCAAACCCGCAGGTGGTCTGCTGCTCGGCCACAATTCAGAACCCAGAAGCGCACTTCCGTCAATTGATACCAACTCTTCCACACCAGCCAACGGTAAGTGACCGTGACGATGACGATATAGACAATGCAGAGGAACACATGGGGCCACCCAGCTTGCAGTTTTTTCGGCAGAGGCCACTGAGGGTGATCACTGAGGATGGCGCTCCATCCGTAGAAAAACTATTCTGTATCTGGAATCCAGAGGTGGCGAAGACGAGTAATAGTCTCCAAGTATCGCCGCCATCTGCTGATGCCTCCAAGTCTTCTTCGGCAACTCTCAGAAAACGCAAGCGAATAGAGGATACAACGCACACCCAGAAGTCCGATAATACAGAGCAGGGCGCTGAGGTCAACTTCAGTACAAGTGCGATTTATCAAGGATCTCGAATTCTCTCTCGATTAGTGGAAGCAGAAATCGCGACGCTGCTATTCTGCCGAGGCAGGAAACTGACCGAACTGGTGCTTATGAATGTCCATTCAATTCTAAAAGCTGATCCCAAGACTCAGAATCTGCTTCGCCGAGTGAGCTCCTATCGTGGTGGATATACGCTTGAAGCCAGACGACGAATCGAACAACGGTTGTTTAGCGGAGATTTGCTTGGTGTGGTGGCAACGAACGCTCTGGAACTTGGTATCGACATCGGCGAGTTGGACTGTACGATACACCTGGGACTTCCATCCAGCATTGCGTCTTTGTGGCAACAAGCAGGTCGTGCAGGTCGGCGACAACAGCAGTCCAAGCAAAAGCAATCCGTCGCAATTATCGTGTGTTTTGATGCACCTTTGGACCAACATTTTGCACAGAAACGACACGCCATGGAACTGTTCCAACTGGAACCAGAAGCCGTTAGTTTGAACCCGATGAACCAACGAATCCTCGGACAGCACTTGTTGTGTGCTGCTCGCGAGTCCGCTCTTTTTTCTTCTCAATCTGGAACAGATTACGTCGACTCATTCGTATTCGGAGCCTTGAACAACACAAACATCACAGAAAAGGGAGAACCGGCGACGTCCGAGGTCAGTAAAGTGCTCTTCCCTCTCTTGAAGGAGAGAAAGCTGGTGAAATGCCCTGAGAACGGTGGAAACCAAGGCTATCGTATCCATTCATGCATGCCGAAAAAGTTCCGTGCTGTGAGTTTGCGCAGTATTTGCGATGAAAACTACACGGTAGTGGCTACTAAGAACGATGCCGCCAATGACACTATCGACGGGGAAGTATTGGACGAAATTCCAGGAGACAAGGTGTTTTTCCAGGTGTACCCCACAGCTGTATATCTTTATCAAGCGCAAGAGTATTTAATAACCCGCTTGGATAATATCCAGCGCATCGCATTCGCGAGAAAGTGTAACCAGCCGCTCACATACTTCACAACTTGTCGTGATTTCACCGATTTGGAGGTTGTACGTATTCACAGCACCACGAAACTTGGACGCAGCAGCGAGAAACCGAAGTGCGAGTCTGCTCTAGTTTGTGTGGGTACTGTCTCCATTCTAACCCGGGTTATCGGATCGACGATGCTGGAAAAGCGTACGATGAGATTCTTAGGAACGAACGACTTCTCCTTGCCACACATGCAATCTTTCGGAGAAGCTGTATGGCTTGAATTCCCAGTTGCACTACGAAAGCAAGTTGAAGAAAGGGGTGGAAGATCGTGGACTGCAGCTTTGCATGGAGTGGGTCACCTCTTTGTGGCCCTCGTTCGTCTGTTCATACTCTGTGATGCGGAAGATGTTGGTACGGAGCACGTGAATGAGTTCGAGCAGCGCGTTAAGTACGGTGATGGTATTTCGCTTTTAAGCAGCAAAGATTGTCTCTAACATGTTTTGGTATTCTCTGTCAGACCAAACCGTGTCACGATCTTCGAGCGACGAGAAGGAGGGAGCGGATTAGTTCCAGAAATCGTCAAAGTGCTGCCAAAGGTGCGTGTCAGCATTTCTCCTATATTTTGTATTCGGCTGCTCAGTGTCGTGTTGATGAATCAGTTGATTGAGAAGGCATGGGCGATTGCAAGCGAGTGCTTGTGCTCTGATGGCTGCCCGGCATGTATTCAATCCTCTGGATGCTCCGAATACAATCACGTGTTGGACAAGCAAGGAAGCCTTCAGGTACTCGAGTATCTGCACAGTATAGTTACCACATAATACATCGAACCAGTTACATTTCCACCATCTCGCAAACATCACACATTGAGCGTGGCGATTCTCACCACGCTTTACCAGGACTATTCGTACAGTTTACGTAGGAACATATCGATAAAGAATTTACGCAAATTAAAGCAGAAACGAAAGCGTTCATGAAGTAAAATAAAAAATGCGGCCAACAGGAAATGAAGGATTGCATCCGAAGCAAAAGAGATATTACTTTTTGTCCACCAACGGGGCTCCTCCTTTGTAGTAAAAAAAAAAGTGTTTCTTGAAGGCTCACGCGTTGACATTAAAGCGCACTAACGCAAACAAACGAAAGCCTAGAAGTATTTTCCTTCTGGCGTCATTCGGCTGTGATAGAAATTCCAATACTCTTTGAAGCGAGGATCCTTAACGTCCGCCGGCTTTACACCGCTGAAAATCCACTTGTTGTACTTTGCCAGTCTCTCCAGTTTGCCACCGAACTGCTTCGCAAGTGCGGCAACTGAAAACCCTCTTTCCTCCCCTCCGACAGTGGCTGCACTCCCCTTCTTCAGTATGCGTGTGGCAGAGGCGTCACCCTTGTTAACAGCATCGTTGGTAGTGATTCTCAAATTCTTGGTCTACTCGAAGGTTGATAGAGCGTTAACACTGACGAGAAGAGCCGCAACAAAAAACGAAGTAGCGTAAATGAGACGCATTGTCGTTCTGCGAGGAGGGCCTTAGGGTAGTGAGCTCTTGAGCTCTTGAGTTCGAATTGAGAAGTGTGTGGACAAAGGACAAACTTTTCGTGCGGGAGCAGTCTAGCTTTTTTCGCGTTGGAGCAACAAAACCTTGAATACTATCAGTAGCGGTAGTAAGCTTATACTTCGAAGTATTATAGAAAATAACTTGACCGCGCAGACCCACCAGATCGTAACATGTACTTTGCGTCAGCTTCCCTAAGGGACAAAGATAGTGATTTCGAGCAAACGTTCTGTAAATTTTCATCCTAGCTGTGTCTGCCGTCAACCGGAAGAGAAGATTACAAAACAAGGATTCGTCTTGACGCTTTGCAGCGATGTGGACGACGTCGCTGCGATTATGTGGACACTTTAAAAACACTTTTTCAGATTTCATACATGCAAGACTTCGCTTTCATCCGAGAGCGGTGCCAATATTGAATTCTCTGTATGCTTTTAATAGTAGGCTAAATCCTGTATGGTACCAATAGGGGATATTGCTCTTTGAGTCTACATGTTAGAAAACGTATTCTCACTGATCACAATTGTGCCGATGCGACAGCTGTTGAAGCTGTTTATTCAAAGAGGAAATTTTGAGATGGTGTTCCGCATTATTATAGGGAGTGGTGTGGTTGAGACGTCTCACGTGATACATGTGCAGAACTGACAGGGGGAGGGGGGTTGTGTGATTGCGCGCATGCTTTTCAAGCTTATTTGTTACCTTTGTGTATTCTACAACGAGAAATTAAACTATTTAAGTAGGTTGGAGTTAAACGCAAGTAGGTGAGTGGACCCCGTACGGCGTATTTGATAATCCAATAATGCTCGCTATGAGGAAACGTACGTTCACAAAAATGAACTGCAACCCCACTACAGATTTCCTCAGCATAAATTTTCTGAGAATCATTGGTTTCAAGCAGAACCAGCCACTCTGGGTCTCTGAGTGGATACTGTGGCGCTGTAAGCAAAGAAATCTCTGTATGTGTCCGTGTACAGTACGGAACACTTTTGTCATAAAACAAGGAATGAGACAAACGGCGTTAGAGGTAACAAAGGGCTCTTAACGTATTTCGCGAAACACTTCCGTCAGCATATTAGAAAGATTCTAGTTTGCCGGCTGTGGGGCTAGTTTGTGAAGCTGAGACGTGAGTTCCCATTATTAGTGCAATGCTTCGGAGACTATTTGTCAACGCCGAACCACATTCCAGCATCGTGTTTCTCGGATTAACCTTTGTGTCTACTGTATTTACGTGAGGGCCTTTGCTATCCAATGCAGTAAATTACAGCCGTAATACGATATACTGACTTGCTGCAGGCTTTAGAAAGAGAATCATGGGCCAATAAATCATGATCCTTGATAGTGTCAGTATCTGAAGCGCTGCTTTCGCAGGCTAACAGACAGTGCTATCATCCTAAGATGGACGGAATCTACGTAACCTCGTAAGATGCTTCAGGCCATTCCTCTCGTGGTGAGCCATCTCTGGTGGAGCTTAGCTTACTTAAGCAGAAAAAATCAGTTTGTGTTTCCTTTATTGCTATTTAGCTTGTCTTAATGTTCTTGTGCAACATTGATTGCCATCTTCATGAATGGAATCAACTTGTAAGTAGGTCCGCTCAATAACTTACGTTTTGCAAATCTAACTTCATCTACTTGGTTAGTTATAAATCTCTCGTTCTACAATATTGCAACTAAATCCCTTGATGGCTACCTTTTTCGTTCATTGCACATCTAAAAAAGCGAAAGCTCCTTGGTGGTAAGTAATAAGCAGGAGATGAGCGACGTCCATGGCAATGTCCAGAACATTTCAATGTTCAGGACATTTCACACCGTTGAAGAAAAAGCATGCCTCTTCAGCATGTAGTATAATGCTCTGGTCATACACTCGTTTAAGCGGATGGTCTTCCACAAATTCAGGGATAGTAGTAGTAATTCAGTGCGTTGAATGGGCAGCAGAATGTTAGTTTTTTATTATTATTTTGGCGCTGCCTGTAGAATGAAATCAGACATGCTTCGCCTGTAACTGCGCTTTTCAACGTCGATTCAGAATTCTCTATTGAACTCAGAAAACAAAAGAAAAGGCTTTACGCGAAGACCGAGTTTTTTTCCTCTCTATTTGGCGAAGATCTTAGATCGAAGAAGGATTTTGCTTTAAATTTTTTTAACTTTGATTTAGGTCTTTATTCAGTAGCAAGTGCAATACGTGTCTTCCCAGGAGTTTCGCCTGTAAAATTAGCAAGCAAAAATGCTGAATGCATTCGTTATGCAAGAGACTCTACTCGACGCGTCGCTCCCTGCCTGCGTACTTGTTCTTGTCTTGCACCTTCTTGTTTGCATTAATCTCCATCAGACACCAGGATGTCCAAGACAAAGAATAAGGTGGACCAAATGAGCACTGCTGGTACGCATTAAACTGCAGTGTCTACGTGACAAACCATCCTCACTAACCACTTTTAATGACAGACTGGCAACAGTATCACCAGTTGCTGTCCAACCACCAGCTCATGAAGTACTTTGCCGATGAGGTACATCGCTTCGCGCGGTGCCCCATGAAACCAGACGACGTGTTGCGTCGATTTAGCTTGAATGGTGATGGCCACCTTGATCTCCGCGAGTTTCAGCTAGCAGTGACTCGACTAGAGATTGTGGCTCCGTCTTCGCTTCAGAGCAACGGGTCAAGTCAAGAGCTACAGCCCGATCGAGATCTAGAGAGGGCTAAGGAGCTCTATTTGGTGTTTTGTCCTACACAAACACGCAAATTAGGTGGGTACCAGATCTCAAGGTAATTCCAGTACACAGGAGCACTAACAAGCGAATTATACTGTAGATATCGATCTCTTTTGCCGTATTATGACGGAATGGTCTTTGCAGCTAATGCGATCAAGTTATCAGCACGATCCGTCATCCCGATTGGCCTCACCAATGCCGACACTATCGATGAACAAACGTATTCAGTACTCGTCTCCCCGCACACCATTGGCAACTCCGTACGCCACCCAGGCCACTCTCAACGCGAGTCGCACTATTGCGGGTAATGAAGGCAATACCGATTCAAATGGGCATAGTACCCACCTCCTGGAGGGCGAAGCTCTGTGGCAAAGACTAACGACGTCAATCACGCAAAACGGTGAAAAACTCCGTCAGATCTTCTTCAAGATGGACGTAATGAGCTCCGGCAAGGTCAGTCCGGAGGAGCTCGAGTTGGCGTTGAGTCATATTGGCGTATTTCTTACTACACGCGAGTACGAAAAGCTATACATGTCGCTCGGTGAGGACGTGAAAGAGTATACACGAGATGGTGCAAGCAATGGAAAATGGCGCGGAAGGGGAGGCAATGGGAATGCATTTACCATCAAGTACGCTGCTTTCTTAGATCTGTTTCAAGAGAAAGATGGGGTGGATCATCGAACGCAAACAATGCCATCCAATTCAAAACTAGTGTCTCCTCCAGTCGTGGGGATCGGCAGTGCTCGCCTTTGGGACTTGCTCGTAGCGGCTTTCGAAAAACTTCAATCGCTTTTCCACCAGTATCAACGTATTGGACAATACTATCTACCTCCCGAGACATTTCGAGACTGCCTGCTACGCTGTGGAATTACTCTTAGTAACGCTGACTTCGCAGCTCTACGTGTTCGTTTATTACCATTCTCGTAAGTAATCTATGCGATCCTGGTCCTTGACGGAAACTAAAATAAATTTTCTGTACAATAGGGATTCTGCTGGCTCAATTGGAGTTGGTCCTCTTCTGGAGGCATTGAAAGCAGCTGATCGTACAACTATGAAGTCAAAGGCATCTCCTGGCGTACCTGGTACCTCTGTTGGCTACGTCAGTCAGTCTCCTATTCGTCTTGGGAAGAAAGCAGTACAGTCGACAGCATACAGTCCCGTGATTAGTGGTAGCGAACCTTATCCAGCAGGAAAATCGACGCAGGAGAGGTATGTCCAGCATGATCCCTTCTTGGCCCACTAGTCAAAACCTCACTTTTTCTTCCTTTTGTTAGAAATGCTGAGGCAAACCGAACTATTGTCAAAATTTGTGACGAGCGACGCAGAGAGAGTGAACTCCACTTTCCCACAGCGACTACGAGTCCAAGAGCTGCTAACACCGGAGAAAGTGAGGCTTATCTTGAACATCAACACCGGCGCCAGGATCCATTTTTCTCGACGGGCAAACCCCCTCCAGCCCTGGAAGCTCGTATCTTGGCCAAGCTTCAACAGTTGAAGCAGCTCGGACAATTATCTGGATCCTCACCTCAAAGTGTCTTCCCTGGCGATCGATTTGGCCACATTACGAGAGGTCAGTTCCGCCAGAGTCTCGCGCACTTGAACCTGTTGGTTCGGTATGCCGATGTTGAGGCACTTTTCTGGACTCTAGACACCCAAGGACGTGGATATATAACGGCACAAGACTTTTACGATCATCTGAATACCTTTGCTACTCAGCAAAAAGCCACTGAATCCTCCCAGCAGCTCCCTAGCATTTCCATTGATGGGTCGATACAACGTGCTCGGCTTCGGCTTCCCCGCTCCGTCCAAAAGATTTTTGAGAAAATGTTAGTAGAGCTTCCACGCATCATCGCAATCTGTGAACGCATGGATACCAACCAGACTGGTTCAGTCTCTACAACAGAATTGCTGCAGGCTATTCATGAACTTGGTATCATGGCGTCTATAGCAGATAAACAGGCTGCTATTGAGGCTCTCAACCGTGATCAATCACAACAATCCGACCAAATCCCGTATCGTTCTCTTGAAGATCGTCTTGGAGCTCTTTGTAGCGACTTACTATCACCGAAAAAGCGCAAGAAGCACCTCTCTACGACGTCGGTACTGTTGGCTCCGTACGAAGAGCTGCCTACAGATGTAGAATCTTCGTACAACCACACCAACGACACGCTCTGGAACTGTCCACGTCGACGTATGGTTCAAGATCATCGGGCTGCGAGGTCTTCTATTCGAATTACAGACGAGATCAGTAACCCCCATACTCAGGTTCACCCCGTACAACCGTCCAGGAGATCTACTGCCGTGGATGATGTCAATTCACGTCAGGAGCGAAGACACCGTGTGGCTCTGGTGAGCATACTACAGGATCTACTGGAGCGACGCAGTGACCTAAAAACTGCTCTTGATTTGCACCGCCGTGCTGATGCTCGAGGTCATGTTACTAAGAAGGACCTTGTAGAAGTATTGCTGACTTCCCGCTTAAACCTACATTTCCCTACCGGGGCTCCAGCAGCTCAAGAACTCGTGGATGAATTGTACCCCTCACTCCATCCAGAGAGCGGCCTCGGGTTCTTGGATATCTTACGACGTATTAGCGAGCTGCTCGGTGAAGTTACCAAGGAGCTATCGTCAGCACCAACACCGTCGGGCAATCGTCCTCTTTCTACCTTTTCAACGAACCCGTACCAACATCCCCAACGGCCAACTGGGCGGAGACTGAATAATAGTCTCGATATGCACAGCTCCGTGCTGCCTACAACGTCAGGCTCGTTCACAAAGCTCTCCTTGTTGTCTAATGGAGAAACGTTGGCCGGTAGTGCGTCAACGGTGCGACGCAAACTGCTGCAGGACAGTAGACTGAAGAACCTACTGGACTCCGACTACGGGCTTCAGAGTGCTGCTGTGCTCGTTAGACATGCGTTCAAGGGTCTGGCCCCACGCGAAATGGTTGTCCCGATTGATAATGGGGAGTTCGAGGCGACATGCCGAGCGAGTGACATTAAACACGTGTGCTACCGACTTGGACTCGATTTGGATCTGCAGGAGCAACAATTTGTTGCGAGCAGTGTTGACACTGGAGACAGCGGCTTTGTGTCTTCCCCCGATCTGCTCGACTTCTTCACCAAACTTGTCAAGACTGGAGACTGTACTGCTTCAAACTCCTTCAGCAAGGAAAAAGAATCTAGATCTGACAACCGGCGCTCGGTAACGTTCTGCGAGGACCGACCAGTACTACGAGAGTATTAAACTAATCACGCATTAGTGATTAAGAAGAATCAACTAGTAGACAGCAATAACGAAGAGCTTTAAAATAAAACTTTTATTGAGGAACTTCACGATTCCATCCTATTTTATTTTTAATCATCATCTACTGGAAATAAATCGTGTTCGCAATTCGCCAATTCGCCAATTTTAGATATCAAAACTGCTTGTGCGTTGCTGAAATTCTATAGTAAGGGTACATTTACCATTTCTAGTGTCAGGACAACAATGCCGTCGGGAAGAGGCCTGCCTCGACTTAAGTACACCCCTGCAGCCTCACAGCAGCTCGCGTTAACCAAGGATGCGGCCAAAATGAACCGGGTCACAAGTGGTATCGGTGGTGCGTTGGAGGGTGTCCAAATGAGAATCGAGATGCTGACTCGAGAGATCAAGGCCGACGAGAAGGGCAAAAAGGACTATGACGAGCAGCTTTTTCGACTAAACGAGCGCCGGAAGGACTTGGAGGCCAAATTGAAGGAATGCAGAGAATGGAGCGACCTCTTCGAAAGCAAGATCAAACCTCTCGCGGGCAAGTACACGGAGACGACGGACAGCATGCAAGGACAGTATAACGAGGCCAAGCAACGCCATGCCCAAGGAATCCTCGTACTCATGGAGAACTTCGACTACCACCCAGAGTTCAAACGCTTCAGCGACACTTTCACTGCTGTCCCCTTCAAGCCAAAGTAGAGCAGACTGGCAATACCGAAGGCGCAATATATTTCTAGTGAATGGATCGTTCGAGGAATGAATAAATGATAGTGGTTCACCGTTCTGTCAAATACTAGCTCAAAACGAAGGTCAACTGAAAGGTAAAGCCTCTCTGTGGGGCTCTTTACAATCGGTCCGAGCGTGTTACGGCCATCTCCAACTCGAAAGCGGCAGGCAATCGACGATACTTTTTGTCTCGAGCTGCCCAGTCCATTTCTGAGCGAGAAAAGATAACACACCCAGTCTCGTTGTCTACAATGAACGCAAGCAAAGTTAGGAATATTTTCACAGTTTGGTTACAGCTCCACGTACCGGGATTGAGGAAGAATGTGTTGAACCAGATCTTGAAGTGTTTGGCTCTCATGCATCCGTTCACACGCTCACGATAGAACTCGAGCATGACGCATCCACGGATTTCCTCGTGCAACTCGAACTCGTTGGAGCCGATTTGTTGGTGCATCAACGTCTTGGGAGAGCCGTCAGAGCGTAGTGCGTAGATGCGCAGTCGTAACTTTGGCGGCTTTGCTGCTGTCAGTGTGTTGTTCAGCTTCAATCTCTGAATCACGAAAGTCGGTTCTAGAATGGGTTCTCCTTGCACGGAAGTCTGCGCTAGCAATGCAGCGTAGTAATTGACCCACTTCTTCTGACTTACGACAGTGAGACCTCGACGATCATTCACGCGCTCACGGTTGTAGCGATCAATGGCGTCGGTCGCAGAGGCCGAGAAGCCCATTCGTAAGAGAAGCATACACGCCATCATACCAGCCCTTCCTTTTCCAGCCTGCCCAAGAAAACACCCACATTTTCATGTCAAATATCGATAAAAATGGCGTTGATATGTATATATATATACCTTGCAATGCAGCGCCACAACATGCTTCTCATTCGCATCCAGCCATGCTGCAGCTTCGTCACAGAATGCCATCCTACGGTAACAAATAACATTGTTCAGTATTTCTCTTGATGAGATGTTCTAGCTGTAAGTTCGTACATCATCTGGAGTGTTGGGACGTTGTGATCTTCAATGGGATAGTTCTTGACGCGCCCATCAAAGATACTCGGTGGGTAGCTGTACCAACAGCAAACAGCGCAAATATTAGCATCAACGTCTCAAGGCTATAGAGCATTGCGACGATCCACCTCCTGTTGGGCCCGTCGCAGAAGTTGTAGACGAAATAGTCTCCACCATGACGCTCTTCCAGGAACTGTTGCACCTCCGACCGCGGGTTCCGGAAGAGGAGCTCGACGCCCACAGCGGGGTAGCCTGGATAAAGACATCTCGCCACTTGTTAGTTGGCTCCCATAGCTCTTATACACTTTCTTTCACGGACCCATAACGATGACGCGCGGGTGCACGTAGCCCAAATCCAGGTCGAAGCCGTCCTGTTGGAATCGGCGCTTGTTCTGGGAGACGAGCGCGCGCGGCACGGCCAGAACACAGCGACAGGGATTGGAACGCGGCGCCATGTTCTTGGTGCTGTGGCCAATTCGGGAATGAGAGAGGTGAAAACGGCTATTATATGAGAGTTTGTATGCGACCTCACACTTGGTGCTGAAAGGACGCCTGCGATACACAATAAAAGTCGGGAGTCGAACCTGCACAGAGAATTCTCATAACTTCGTGGTTGTCGACGTTGAACAATTTAACGTTGCTATAGTTACAAGTGCACGAAAAAAAAAAGTAGTGTCATGGCGGCGCTCAGCTAAACTTTAAGGAGACACACTGGATGCGAGGTTTTCTTTTCAAAAGACATGAACTGGGTCTGCTTCAGCTGTGGTCTCGATGCATTCGTCGCAATTTTTTATCTCAGGAGGTTGCCCTATAGAACAGTTACTGGCCAACATGTCCAGGCTCAGATGCGTCTTCAAGCTTTAACTTGTTGATATGATTATTTGTTTGCACAATAGCTGGTTGTCCTGATAAAAGAAATAAAATGCAACTTGTAGTCTCAGGCTGAGTGAGTGCTTCTCGATCGATGAACAACCACTAGTACACTGTAAAAAGTCTTTGTACTCCGTCTAGCTCCCCTCTCTATTCCGATACAACATGGCTACACTAAGTTGAAGAAGAACAAATCCAGACGGTCGCAACCCATTTGCCATCTTGCCCGTCAAGGATGGGTTTTCTTGCTGCTTTATCCGTGGCGCTGCTCGGTACGCTCTTGACGTACTCCCCGGTCAATGCCGAGCATTGGGCGGTCATCGTGGCCGGCTCCAACGGGTACAGCAACTACCGACACCAATCCGACGCCTGCCATGCTTACCACGTCGTGCGACGCCACGGCATCCCGGCCGAGAACGTGGTGCTTATGATATACGACGACGTGGCTTGGCATGAGAGTAATCCGTACCCCGGTCAACTTTTTAACAAGCCCACAACCAAGAATGCATCGCATGCGGATGTGCAGCCCGTGGACGTTTACAAGGGCTGCAACATCGACTTCCGCGCGGCCGAAGTGACCCCCGAGACCTTCTTGAATGTACTGACAGGCAACAGCTCCGGAGCCTTTAATAAGAAGGTGCTCAATAGCACGAAGGACGACCGAGTGTTCATCAATTTCATTGACCACGGGTCACGAGGCAGCATTTATTTCCCGCACATGAAGCCGCTCACGGCCTCGAGACTGAAAAAGGCTATGCAGACAATGCACGACAAGAAAATGTACAAGGAACTCGTGTTCTACATGGAGGCCTGCGAGTCAGGTTCAATGTTCTCGGATAGTTTCTTGAAGAGCATCAACGCATACGTGACGACGGCTGCGAACGGCTTCGAGTCTTCATGGGCAGCGTACTGCCCTCCTTTGGACGAGGTGAATGGGGAACGCATTGGCTCGTGTCTTGGAGATCTGTACTCTGTCAACTGGATGGAAGATAGTGACCTGACGGACTTGTCAGGGGAGACACTCACAACGCAGTTCCACCGCGTCAAGAATGCGACTACCAAGAGCCACGTCAAGTCGTTTGGGTTATCCAAACTCAGTCACGAAATCGTTGGCAACTACCAGTCTACATACGACAAGAGCTACAATGGCGACGACTCTGACAGCGAAGATATTGAGCCACTGTCAGCCGCAGCAGCGCGTGATACGGAAACTGCTATTGAAAGCACAGTAGATGCTCGGGATGTGGACCTGGTCGTTGCGTTCTACCGTTATCTGCGTGCTGCCCCTGGCAAGAGTCGACGTGGATTCGCGGACGAGCTCACTGCGACGATCCAAGCTCGTGAAGTTGCTGACGAGGTGTTCGAGACGATCACGGCTCTATACGAGCAGCGCACTGAATCATCTCTGCTTCAAGTTGAAGAGCCCAAGAACTTGGAGTGCCATGAGGAAATCACCCGTATTTTCGAGACTTCTTGCGCTTATAGTGGTGGGCTCACCAGTTACAGCCTCAAGTATGTTGGTACATTGATGGATCTCTGCGAATCGAGCCTGCCGCAAGATGAAGTGGCGTCCATCGTGCACAAAGCGTGCTTGGTGGTGGAGACCCGTCGTGCTCCAAGAAATGATGTGTTCAACACTAATGTAGCCATGTTGGCCTAACAAGGGAAACGGATGGACAGAAGCTGCCCGACTGGTGGAGGGGCGCAATTTGCGAGTCATTCGGCAATTTGCTTCTGTCGAACGCAGTTGAATTCAAAGTGGAGGAAAAAATTCCTCCGTGCATGTTACGTATAGGGCCCCTCGTAGGTGTTCACAATGATACTAAAAATGATATAATGAGCCTGAACCGTTTGACAGCGGGTCATGTTGACAACCTCTTGCTGAGTGAACACGATCAATCAAATTGCAACGAAAAGATTCAATATGGTAGCAGATCAACGTCGAAATACTTTTCAAAAATGCAACTATCCTTCCAGGTAGACGCCATTTGGGTAGCTCTCCTCCTCCTCTTCCGGAATCTTGTCCGATTTTTCGGCTCCCAGGTTTTCGTAAAGCGTCTTGAGCTCTGCGTGCTCGTCCTCGATAGCAACATCGTATGGCTGCATCAACGAGTTAGTTAAGCAAGAAAAAAAAAATTACCGCCACAGCCGCCGCTAACTCACCGTCTGTCCCTCTGAGTTGCGTGCATTCAGGTCCGCGCCGTGCTCGAGTAGCAGCTTGGCACACTCAACCGTCTCGCACCGATGCAGCGGCGTGTCCATATCGTTGTCTCCTGCATCCGTCAGCGCATCAGTCTCTCAAACGTCCATTCTTCCGCTTACATAACCAGGATCTCACCCAACTTGACGTCCGCGCCGCTTGCCAACAGGAACACCACCAGCTCCATGTGATTGTAGCTCACCGCCGCTTGTCTGGGGATATCAACAGCATCAGTATCACGTCCCTACACTCAACATCCAAACATCAACTCACAGTGGCGTGTATCCATTCTCGTCCTTGGCGTTGGCGTCTCCTCCGCTAGCCAGAAAAGCCTTGACGCTCTCAATGTCGCCGTCACTCGACGCTGTCCAGACGTTGACGCTCATGCTTGCACCAAATTTTAGGTCTGCGCTTTAAAAACAGTCTACTTTGACTTTACTCAGATCTGAATATACTCCTGAAATCTGATAATCAATTTCATTTTTGGCGCCAAAAGGCTAAGAAAATACCGCGGGTGTTGTAACATACGACGAAGCTGAGGAAGCCATGGCGCACCTCCCTCCGCGGATCAGCGCACCCCCGTCTGCGGTTTCTTCCACCGGTTCCCCGCTGCTATCTAGTCGCTTAGCAGAACATCCACCCGCCACACTTGCAAGTGACACGGTCGTGTTCTCGCACACTAAAACACCGTCTCGCCAATCGAGCGTCGTTGCTGGCACAACGTCACCTGTTGCTCCTTATCGACTGCCTGAAACAATACCTGCAAAACATGAGACGCAACCTCAACTTAAGAAATCCCGCGTGGAAGCGCCTCGTGGCGATTGTGTGCGGCGGGTGACAGTACGCGTCATGAAGCACGGAGACAAACTGGGGTTTGGAGTGCGTCACGACCGGTACAAGCGGCTACAAGTGTCCACTCTACAGGGTGGGGACTCGACGTTGCAAGTGGGGGATACACTGTTGTCCGTGAACGGCCAGGATCTCACGGGTCACGATTTCCTAACGGTTATCCAAATACTGAAGGCCACGCGACCGGGAGAGCTGGTGTTCGAGATCGAGAGGCCCAATGGACAAGTGGCTACATCTCAAGCAGTTCCTGCTGCAACGACATCGACTGGAAATCCATGGAGTTCTGCTGAAGTCGCAGCATCGGTATCTACTAGTGGATCAGGCCAAGCTTTTAGGTCCCCGAATGGTACCAACCCAGGTACGGTGGGTGCTGGGAGGACGCTTGCAACTGCAATAATACCTCGAACAGGAGTACCGCCTCCGTCAATTCCAGTGACATCGACGACTACGATGAATGGCGTACAGCAACCGAGGAAACGAGCGCGACCGTGAGTGTTTTGTTCTTGGGTTGATATTATAATAATCACTGCTGATGTTAATATTTTAATATTTTTTGTAGTGCTCAACGTGCAGTGACGATGTTGGACGACAACGGCCAACCTGTGAATGTTACGGCTCTCCTTGCTGATTTAAAGAAGGAACGCGCTACCAAAGCAGCACTTGAAGAAAAGAACGCAGGGCTCCGCAAGCGAGTGCAACGCATGTTGATCGAGAATGATGAAGTGCGCGTGAAGGCCAAGAACGAGGTGGTAGCTGCACAGGAGAAGGCCCAGCGTGAAATTGCCGAAGCTCAGAACCAACTGGCAGTTGTGCGCGCGAAGGTGCGACTGCAGGAACGCAGTCCTGATGTGGGGCGAATAGATGCAATGGCCGACGAGATCAAGACATACAAGGCACAAGTGGAACGTCTGAAGAAGATCGAGGCAGATCGGACAGTACTACTTACTACGCGTTACCGTGGGGAATGTCGGGTTGCTGCTGTTGACGCACAGCGTGTGCTGGACTCCGTGGTGGGAATGTTCCGAACGAAGCTTCGACAAGTGGGTCGTATGAGTCGAGATAGCACAGGCAAATCGGAGCTGGAAGTGGCGTGTGACGGCGTGCGGCGTCTCGCCTTCATGAAGCTTTTTCGTATAGCACACGACTTTGCCTTCTACGCATCGGCAGCATTCCACTCGCAGGACCCAGTGCGGCACACAATCGAGCAAGAACAGTTCTTGGACTTGTTTGGCCACTCTCTGTGTCATGAAGAACGCGCAGGCTTGTTCTACGTAGCCACAGCTCCCATGGTACGTGCAATACACAGTTGTTGAGGGCAGAAGGACGTTAGTTATTTGACGCTGTGTTTGTTTTTTATTCAGGTCGTCATGTTCGACCCTAACGCTGAAAGTATAGTACTCAAATGTGAATGGGCCGAGCAGAACGCTCTCCGTGACCTCGCACGTACTGTCCGCTTCTGAACTTGATAGCTCCCCGCTAGATTAGAATGCTGAGGATTCACTGTATGACGTAGCTGAATTTCTATGTGTGCAATTGATTCTGACTTGTTTGCCTGCTACTTAGTTAATTCCTGGAAGGTTGTTATTGGCGCTGTTGAGGGTGTTGATGGAGGTTGTGTTGGTGATTGACAGCGCCATGGACTGCATGACAACGTCGCGTAGGCGGTTCCAGAGAGCAGGCGCCAACTCGTCCATGGACTCGTAAGTCTCGCGAGTCATCTCGAACACCGTGCACGGCTCCATAGCCCTACCAGCCATGTATCGATATTGACGACCGAAGAAGTCGACTTCACCGAACATGGCGCCGGGCATCACATTCTCCAGTAGTGTCAAAGGTTTCCCAGGAACTACACTGCCGTCATCGTTCATAAAGAGCGCAACGCGGCCACTTGCGAGGAAGTAGAAGCGGTCTGGGTAGGACGCGACACGGTAGAACTCGTAGCCCTGAGGCACCTCGTACTTGCGGAAAAACTGGTCAACACCTCGGAAGAGTGGAGAGTCATCGGGCTCGCCCATAAAGCGGTGGAGCAGCACACTCATAGATTCGTGGTTATGCGTCAGATCCTGGGCGTGATTGGTGTTAACCAGCAATTGGTTCTCGCAGAACTCCAAGGCAGAGTCAGCATTGAGGAAGAAGTTTTCTTCCTCCGCGATCTCGTTCTTCAGCAGTAAGCTGCGGATCTCTGGCAGCACATCAGCAAAAATGACGGTGATATCATGGCGCTTGCAATGCTGCTGCAAGATCATGAAGACACTACGCGCAGCTGTTGCATCCATGCCAGAAACGCGATTGAAGTCCATGACGACGTACTCGGTCGGCAGACCGTCTGGGTGTGGCGCAGGACTGCCATCCAAACACTCAATGGGGACATCTCGCTTGGACACGGGCGTGAGCGGGATACCGGAGTCGTCGACGTAGTGTGGTTCCATGTCCATCCCCTTGCTCGATTTCTGCTTCATCGCAGCCCTGGACTTGCGAATGTGTACCGCCTTCTGCACGTCTTCTAGAATCTGCACTGACGAACCGAAGAATAGATAGCCGTACAGCTCCAGGTACACAATAGCATCGCGTTTCTGACCTAGAAACGTGCGTGCGGCGAGTTTGCGCACCGCAGCAGATGAGCGACACTTCCGACTCACCACTCGGACCTGCGCATAACCTAGCAAGAAGTTGATGATGGCAAAGCCGATACCAAGCACCATTCCCAGTTCGAGCGACACCATGTTGATGGCGATGAAAGACAGCCACAACACCACGTACTCCCGCGGCAAGATCTTGTGGTACACGTGCACTAGCCACTCCATCATGAGGTCGATAGCGATGAAGATCAGCGTGGCGGCGAAGAAGAAGCGAGGCACGAGACTCATCACCGACAGCGGCACGAGTACAATGGCGAACTCGGAGATAATGACACACACGCCGACAATACGCGAGTTGGTCTTGGAACGGTACGTGAAAATGGTCTGCGAGAAAATGTACGAGCCGGTGTATCCGCCCAGCAGTCCACTCACAAAGTTGGACCAACCCACAGACTTGAGCTCATGGTTGATGTTGAGCTGACTGCCCATGTCCATCTCAATAGCTGCAACATCTAGACACGACGAGAATGCCACAACGAACGTCATTCCGAGCCACGTCGTGAGCTGTCGAGGTACTTGGTTCCAGTGCATCTGCGAGAAGTCAAACAGGTCGAACATTTGCACGAAGCCAGCAGGGTCCGAGGCCGGCGAGACCCATCCGAAGTCACGAGCGTCATCCAACGAGATGCCACATAACGCTAGTACTACGAAGAATAACAGAGGCATCAATAGAATCGTAGCAGGCAATGCGAACGAGTTCTCACAGCGCTGCGACACCAGCAACAAGATCACACCGCCCAAGACGCCAGGGACGCAGAGAAGCATATAATGCGGGTCCCAGATCTGCATCATCGAAGTGAAATCGTTGATCACCAGTCCTGTACACAGCGACAAGCCTGCATACATACAGAACAGCCCAATAAAAGCCAAATAGCCTCCAACCACAGGCATCGGCAGGTACGACACGAGTCCCGCCAGTTTAAACTTGCCCAGCAGTACCAACACTACACCAAGCGCTGCTGTGGCCAAACCTATCGTCACGACTGTAGTCGTCACTTTGGCCTCCAACGAGACCTCCTCGCCCAGTGATTTGCAGATGGACGTCGCGATGGCGCTGAGGAAAATGAGCCCTGCGTCCTGCACCTGTCCGATGGCGAAGGGCAGCGAGCTCAGCAGCGTGAACATGATCTGGTGCACAACACTGGAGAACATGACGAGCTTAGACAGTGCTGGCATGAAGCCGGCGAAGTCTGGGTGGCTGAAGATGATGGCTGCGTAGCCATACATGCACGGGATCGTCAGGATGGAGTTAATAACACCGTACATCAATGCGTTTGTAAACTTGGCCAATTGGTGGGGACCGCATACGCCTCCGGAAGTGCTGGCATTGACACCATTCAGAGCCGAGTCATTGCTGACCAGTAAAGCCATGGACTCTCCGTATGGCGAGCTCTCGTGGTCCACCCAGCTGCGGTGACGACGGCGCTCCTGCTGCGATGACTCATTTTGGGCGGTTTCGGCTGCGCGCTGAGCTGCACGTTCAGCTGCTGGTCCACGTGGCGTCGAGTTGCTGCGACGCTTGACTGCGCCCGAGAGCGCAGGCGAGTACATTGGCCAAAGTCCGATGGATCAGGACCGAGTTAATGGAGTTATCTGGAAGTGAGACCGGCCCTTGACCATCTGGACCGCAACATGACATAATACAGTGCTGCTAAAAACTATAGCCATACTCATTTTTTGACGCATCGCAAGCAATTTCAGCGAATGACGCTTGGCCTAAAGACTATAATTACGACAGATAAAACCAGAGCGTTCTGTGGTTAAAGAGTATTGAAAACACAATCGAAAAATTTAGGTTGGGGAATGGCATTCAGACGAAAAAAACCCATTAATTTTTTTAATGGGTTGTTTTCGTCTGAGTGCCATCCCGGCCAATCAGCATGCGTACCGACAAGATTTTTTGCACTAAGTTATTTGGGGTTGTCACTATGTTATTAATAGTAATTGTTGATGCATGTAGTATTGTGTCGACGTTATTAATAGTACTTGTTGATGCATGTAGTATTGTGGCTAAAAGTACTAATATCAGCGGCGCACTCATTAATTGATGCATGTAGTATTGTGGCTAGAAGTACTAATATCAGCGGCGCACTCATTAATACATGAAGCTTAACCAATATTTGTCCTTGAAAAAGTACCAAAGTTTAAGTACGATCGACTTTGCCCGATTGGATCGGCACTATCGATATATCAATACAAGCGACCACAGCGCTTGTTAATGATAAGGAGGCGAACCGCTTAGTTTTATAGCTGACGTCAAAACGAGGAACACAATCATTTACTTCATTAGTGAAGCTCATCGGTGCCCCATAATGGACAAAAAAGTTTTACTAGATCCTCATAAAATGTATAAATTGCTTTCAAACTCAGTTCTGCCTAGCTAATTCCCACGTCTCAAGGTTCTTTACTGTTCTGCGTACAATGGTAGGAGATGCTGAAAGGTAAATACATGAGCTTGACACTTCCCATGAAATATACTACTACAGGTCATAATTGAAATCGGTTCCTACGCGAAGACAGAGCAGATGCTGTGGCTGCGAAGCAGGTGCAGTAGATGCGTTAGCTCGGCGGCATGCATTTTTATTTTGATAATTTAAAGACCTGTAGGGCCTCTTCAGCCATATCGTGAGTGTTTTATTGTTTTCTTGACATAGTTGCACCGCTAGAATTGCTTTTCAGGAAGCAGAATTTTTTTATATCAACAGTTGATAGGGTCCACGCCAAGCATAAAACTGCTGACCAAATATCAATGAGCTACTGCCATTCTTCCGACCTCTAGTTGAAGAGACACAGTATCTATAGTCGAGAGTTCTAAAGATATTTTCAACTGACTTGCTGACCGCTATTGGCGATGAGGATATCTGTAAAAAAAAAAAAATATATTGCACAAACTCCCACAAAATCCAAAATTAAAACGTTTAGTCTTTATCATATAGCTGAACTGCGTCACGCAACAGCTCACTACAGATTAAATTCCAAGTCGTCAGATAATTGAGACGAAAAACAAAGCAATTATTCCTCGTCTTATCTCTTCCTGGATACACGTAGCTTAGCCGCTGTCTTCGAATAAATAGTGCTCATGAGGCTGGACAGATGTGAGGGCCTTTCCATCAAAAACTGCTCGTAGTCATCCTCCGAGTAAAAGAGATCGGCTGGGTCGTAGGCCTGTTCCGGCAGTACGCGCACCTGAGGTTCTTCCTGGAAGGACACGCTCTTCTTGCGAGTCTCTGGCACTGGCTCAGTAGTCTCTGCAGGTAAAACGACGTGCCTGCTATTCCTGTTTGTGGTGTTGCCCTTCTTCTGTTCTACCTTTTCATTCCCGATACTCTGATAATAAAGCGCAGTGACCCAGCGCACGATTTCTTTGCGTTGGTGGATGCGAAGAGCGACTATGCGCCCGGAATCCTTTGCACGTACGTAGAGGCACTCGTGATCGAAGCCAAAGACGCTTTCGTTAGGCGCGGCTGGCTGCATCTGTAGCGCGAGCGAATCCAGCGGGGGCGTTTTGCGCTTGTAGTCGGTGCGGCGCCAGTAGAGCAGCAGCGTGTCGCCGCGCAGAACGCCGTAGAGCCAACGAGAGAACACCTTGCTCTTAGCACTCGCGCGGCCCTCGGGAGTGGCCACAGAGCACGGCGACGACGCTGACAGCGAGCGCTTGCGCTGTTTCTCGCCGTCTTCCTCCACGCGCACGAAGCCCGCCATTTGGGACGGAGATGAGGAGGGGGAAGTGGTGGAGTCTGGCGGCGTTTTCTGCTTGAGCACCATGTCGCTGTGGGCCTGTGCCGGTCGGTAGGGTGTGCGGGATTCTCGGCAGGTTGTGGAGTGATTGATCGAGGCGTATGGCTGAATGCTTGTTTTATCCACACGCAGTCCAGTCCAAAATAAGAAATTATCGTAATTTAGTACAAAAGTAGTGAATTGTGCACCAGCGTGATTAAAATTCTCATATTGCAGTGGAAAAAATGAAAAGTACAGCAAGCGTTTACCATGCGTGTGTACTAACTAGTCCACCTGCAGCTTACTTACTGGATTACGGTATTTTCTCTTCAGGTGTCTTCAAAGCGTGTGATCAAATATTCTGTTGTTAAAGGATCAAGGTCAGTCAACAGCAGACTATATCCATTTTCTGCTCTCCAATATGCTGGAGTATCGACCCGTTCCACGCCCTTGCGTGTCAGTTGCTAGTGGATCCTTACAATACCTCTCCAAAAGTGTTTTCACAGGTAACAGCAACAACCACGGACGCGCACGTGGCCGCATACATTAACAGATTATTAAAGTCTGTTTACGACTATGACCACGAAGCTAAGCTAACCCAGAACCTTCAATCCCACTCAGCGCGTCGGGGCGGTGCCGCGTTTGCCAGCTCCAACGCCAGTGTCAACTTGTCCGACCTAGCACATCGTGGTCTCTGGTCGATGGACGGGTTCGCGACCCTGCTTGAATACATATCGCCCACTGCTGCAAGCGACCAAAATGTAGCGAAGGTGCTTGGCGGTTGGACAGACACCAAGCAAGGTGGTCATCCACCCACCCTTGCCTGCTTTGATGACGAATCGCACCATACATTTACACGTGTTAGTGACTACGCTAAAGCTATCAGATTGCTGCACTTTGCGAAGATTTCTCCTAAGGGATTCGCTGACTGTCTCACCGCTACGCTGTTGATGTATTACCGCGATACGCTGAAGGTTTCACCGCAGCATATTGTCCACCAAGAGATGCAGCGCGTCCATGCCACGTTGTCGCCCATCTGCCAGTGCCAGGAAGAGCTCCTTGACTGGGGCAGCAAGATCCGCAAGCGGTTTGTCATGGATAACATCTTGGCGCTTCCGCTACATATAGTTAAACAAAGTCTCAGTACGGAGGAACAAGCCGAACAGTTCGTTGGAATACATACCTTTGCAGACACCCTTGAGCGTCTTTTGCTCGGACACCAGCAGCTTGTGCTAGCGAATGAGGAGCTCAAAAATATGATGCGTCAAATTCTAGATCGCTTATCTAGTACACCGACTCGCGGAAGTTCCGACCGCAGCAACGCCGCGCCTGAGCAGGCACGCGAAGCTGAGCCAGCTCCCACAAATCCGCTTCGCCCCCCACTCGTTGGACAGTCTTGGCCGGCAGGGCTCACAACCTTGAAGGGAAAGAAGCTCTCCGACTTCCTCGTCCAGTACATAATGGAGAATCTAGGGTCCCTTCCGAAGGACTCCAGCAATCGTGGGCAGAAAGACTGCTTGCGAGCCGTCGAAATACTATCGTACGTCGCTGACCTGAGCAGCATTCCGCCTCTACCTCCTTCGTCTTGCGAAGCAGAAAGAGTACGCTGGATTTCTGCAATGCAACGTATGGCAAACAGATGCGAGTTAACGTTAGTCAACGGATTAACCCGTGCAGCAAATGGAGCGCAAG